GTGTTATTATATCAGAAAAAGCATATTTGAAAACCGTAAGATGTTTTTGTAGTCTGAAATTTGTCCATTCGCCTGCATTACCACGGTTTTGAACCAGTTTCGAAGTTACTGGTTTCGAAGTGACGCGGAGCCTAGTTACTTACCAAAGAGTTCAACACCTCAATAGCTTCCACAGTGGAAGAGCTTTATTTAATACCCTACATGTAGCTTGTCGGTTTTCCAAGGGATTCCGATGGTCCGTCGACAGTCCGTCAACGGCCCTCCGGTTCCCCTTCGCCTGCCAACTAGCCGTCATTCGCCAGTTTGCGCATTTTCAGCTAGCATTAAGAAGATTCGGCAGTGCACTTTACCTGTAACAACTTTAAAGCGAAAATCATAGATAATTTTTCGAAAAACTAGTCTAGAACTGAATTAATGCTCCCCCGATTCCTCCAAAAATCTAAATTCCCCAAACTCAAACATCCGAATTCTAACTGAACGATACAATTTTTCAGAGCCCAGGCCGCATTCTCTGCGTCTTCATCAAACGACAAGCTAAAACTAATGGACGGTCTCTCGAATTCTCTCACATCTTCTCTCGGTCAAACTTATCAACCATGTCAGTACACTGGACCCCTCTAGATCTAATTTATTTCCTGATTGTATCTCACATCCCCAATTCCCCTCATCGATCTCATTTTGCTTCGATTATCCATTTTGACTCGTGTTAAATAAAATAGACTTTTAATGTTTTTTCTCCTTACTGCAAATAATCTTCCCTTCTCTTTTTTTCATCCCATCCTGTTCCCGAACCGGTCGGCTCACCTCTTACCTCTGGCATTATTTGAGTAAGGTGCCAGGGAGCCATGGAACAGAAGAAATAGTGAGTAGGGAGAGATGAAAAGAAACTTTTTAATTTTTGACACTTTCTTTTTTGTCAGAACAATTTCTTCGCCGAAAAGAAGAAGAAGGAGACAATCCATTCGCCTGTCTAATTGCATTCTGGAGAGACGGGCACAACATGCCAACGAATAATTGCGGTTCCAGTTCTCCTATATCATAATTAATGTATCTCTCTAATCATATGTTTCTTCCGTCTAATACAACTGTTTCAGAATCCATGAATCTACACTTTTATGGCATTTGTCTTTTCTTTTTGGAAAATTTTGTTACACTTTTAACAGCAGAATTTAAAAGTTGCGTAGGTCTTGTTTTCTAGAAATTTTAAGTTTAAAATTTTCCGAATTCGGATATTGTTCATGGATGTTGGGAACACCGCCCCGCAAAACTACAGAGAGGCATTTTATTGTGAAACCCGCAGAGATTTAGTTATACCGTAATTTCTCTCATAGAAGCGCACCTAAACTTTCAACTTTGAGCTCAATTATCTCGGTTCTTTCAAAAGACAAAACACGGTAAACTAACAAAATCTTTACTATTAACAATCACCAAATTCTGTGTGTGAGTGAGTGTGTCCGTTTGTTCCCGGTTCGTTGACCCTAGCGAAGTCCTGAATGGGCCAAAATTTCTCAAATTTTCACAGATGACCCGAAATAGCAGCGAGATGATGCCCGAGTATTTTATATTTCGAAATTTTGTTTTTGACGTCGTCTGGAGACGTTCTTCTATTTCTACAGAGCAAATTTTTAGAAAAATATTGAAGAAATATTCACGTCAGTCCCGTCTAACCCCCTAAATGTTTTTCTTATCCACGCTATTTCTGAGAAAAAAGTGAATAAAAGGAAGAAAGGAAGGAAATAGAATGCAAGGAAAAATAAAAGCATCCTTTCTGGATGACTCGATTTTTCAGAATTCAGAATAATTTTTAAATTTTCCGAACTTAATTTCATGATTTTCAAATTTCGGAATATATAAATTTCTGAGATCTTATACCGAATTTGCCAGAAAATTTAAAAGTTTCAGATTTTCCAACTTTTCAGGTTACCATTATTCGGAGTTTCTAAATTTTATAAATTTAGAATTTTCGAATTTTCAAATCTAAATTTCTGATTTTCCGAAGTTCCAAAAACTTTTCGACGAGAATGTGTTTCGAAAAGTTGAATTTCTGAATTTCCAATTTTTCAGGTTCTCAAGTTCTAATTTTTTAAACTTTTTCGAAACTCTATACATTTCGCGGACAGGGCCGTCTCAGTCCAGCCCGGCATTTAGTAAGTGTGTGAAATTCGAAATTTTCCAATTCTTTAAAATATGATATAACAAATTTCGATATTTGAGACACACAGATTCAAACACTTTTCTAGATTTCAAAATTAATGTTTTCCTACATCTGATTTTTTTTAAATTGACTAATCTCTGGACTTCCGAGTGTCTCACTTTTCCAATTTCCGGATATCCTTAGTTCCGACTTCCCGAATTCTAGAAATTCTAAATAACCGAAATATCGAATTTCGAAATTTCCTAATAGACCATGAAAAAATAGTCCCTGGAAAAATGACAAAGCGTGTCTATAAGATAACGGGTACTGTGAGCGGGAGCCGGTAGTTTCAGCCCGGAGGGGCGAAAACCGGCTGTTTTTTCAAAATTCAAAAAATTTGAGTTTCAGAATTTTCAGAGACAAGAAATTTCAGTAAACCTGACATTTAGTTATCCAAAATGTAAAGCTTCAGGAAATCGGGAGTTCACATACTCCGGATTTCAGAACATAAAAAATATTTTTTTCAGTAGTTTGGAATTTTTGAAAATTTGGGAAATCAAACATTCCGCGAAGAAAATTGATAGTATGCAAAACTTTCACAAATTTTGGTGAATTCGAAAACTCAAAAAATTTGAAATTAGAAATTCGAATGTAAGGTACAGTAAGCGGAAGCCAGGAGGTTGAGGCCCCGACAGTTGACTTAAACCGACTGGTATTTGTCATAAATGCCATACTTGTAAAATTCCGGGCCGGGCCGAACCGGGCCTGAGAAAATTTTCAAGGGCCGGGCCCGGCCCGGAAGGCCCGGTATCAAAAATTCTGTATTTTTGAGCCAAATTTTGAGCTCTCAATATAATTTTCTCCATTTTTGTTTTTTTTGGATTGTTTGTCTGTTTGATCTAATAAGATCGAAAAAACTCGAAAAAAATTTTAATCGAAAAAAATCACATAAGGGTCCCCCTTTGTGTGTTTTTTAAAAATTTCAAAACTTGTGGAATGACAGGCCCGCCGGCCCTCCGAAATTCGGGATAAAGCCCGGCCCGACCCGTTACAAGTATGATAAATGAAAAACTGTTTTGTCAGTTTGCCACTTTTGATTTCTTTCACAGGAATCGAGATAATCGAGCTCAAAGCTAACCTTTGGGGCTTTATTCAAATAAAATACAGTATTTATTCCAAAGAGTCGACCCATTTTGGGACACAGTTCAGTTAGAAAAATTCGAAATTCCTCGTGAGATTTTGTATGATTTTCCAAAGTGATTGTAAATACAAAAAAATGTTTATTAGGTTGACATTGAATATCATTTCCCGATACAGAACAGTCCAAAAAATTGTCGATGGGTGGCTGAAAAAGTTCTTATTGGCTGTCCCCAACTCTTTGGGTAAATCTAGGAAAATTTTAGTTCTATTTATGTAATTGAAAATTGGAATCTATAAAACTATATCATAGATACCACTCTAATGGAAGGTCACCCTACACTCATAATTTGAGATCAATTATCTCAACTTCTTTAAGAGATATCAAAAAGCAGTCAACTGATAAATGATCCATCATAAAATCACCAATATTTTATCGGTTGATAAAGTTTTGATATCTTTTACAGGAACCGAGATAAATTGGCTATAGGATGGCCTTCTATTGTGTTTAGGTATACCCATGAAAATGCAAAGGCTCTCTGTTTTCATATCTGATTTTCAGTTGGTCTTTTTTTAAGTAGAAAATACTCACAATCTATTGAGTGGTGCAAAATTCTAAACAATCTTGTCAGTTCATTACTTGCTTCAAATAATCAACGGACTAGTTCTCGGTTTTTCATTTTCCTACTGAAATTCGCTTGGTTTTCTGCATATTGTAGAATCTATTGTTTGCGCAGTAAACACACATGAACAAATAGGAAGTCATCATCATCATCATCTGCATCAATTGTGTCGGTGGTGTCGTTTTTTTTAATTCATTTCATTTTCATTTTTATTGGCCGTCTGCCAAAAAACAAGAAACATCGAAAGTTGCTTCTTCTCCATATCTCTCAATGATATCTTTCTCTGATACCTAAAATCTCTTTCTCTTTTGAATTTCTCTCGTTTTCTTTTGAGTCGAACACTTTGTCACCTGCCATCCCGACAACTGCCACTCTGTTGCTCTCCGAGAGAGCTTTTCGATTGAATATATTGGGATTACATCTCTCAACTGGTTCTTTGTGTCATTTCAGAAAAAAAGATTTTGATTACTTTTGCTGAGAAAGTTACCGTTTGAATGAAAAAACTAAAACAAACATCCCACTTGACACAAAACCTTTTTTCTTTTATTCCAGAAATAAGCACAACTTTGTGTTCTACATATAAACTACAACGAATCCATTTCATTCGGTATTTAAACAACTATTCTGAAAGTGAAAAATTTATATTTCTTTGTGTTCGTTGTCAATTAACAGCATTCTTTGATAACTGGTAGTCAACACAACATCTACTGTTAGCAACTGTTGTTAAAAAGTACAATGGGTTCTAGTTATTTTCCTTTTGTAAATTATTTTGTTGTCTGTCTTCTTTTTTTTCATTTAATCATATTTCCTAAAATTTTCTGATAGCAAAGTTATTATAGTAAACACTCTAATAGAAGGCCACACAAACTTTTAACATTGAGCATTTATATCTCATTCCCTGTGAAAGATATCAAAAATTGGTCGACTGATAACTATTTCTGATATTATAATAAACGTTTTGCCAGTTGATAACTTTTTCATATCTGTCCCAAAAACCAAGATAAATTGGTTCAAAGTTGAAAGTTAGGGAATTACGGTATGCAATTACGGTATGGGCACGAATTCTGGAGTACAACGGGTTACAACTGATTTAGGGGTACAAAATCCATGATTCGGTAGTTCAAAGTGCATCGGTAAATCGTGTTTTTCGTATCATTGAGTTGAAATTTTTGCGTACATGAAATTGTGACACGGTTGGGAGCGAAATTTCAGTTCAGCGGTACAAAATATACAAGCTACTAAAAATTTTGTACCCTCGAATCATGGATTTTATACCCCTAAATCAGTTTTACCCCGTTGTACCGCTCGAATTTTTTTCCAGTTATTATTTGTTCCAATTTTTCTATCGTTTATGATTGTTCTTTGCCGTTCCTCAAATTCCTAGCAATGATTAAATGAAACATTATTCCTTTTCTACATCATGAATATCTTTCAATCTCCCAGAAGCCATTATGTTACAATATTCGACTTTACCTCCATTGCTGACACCTGTATCTTCAGGTACTTCATTTAAAATCTCCTTTTCTTGACTCCTTGACGTTGAATATCCGCTTTCCCACGGCTCTTTGCCACAAAATGAACACATCCAGCTTCCTTCTCCTTCCTTTCCGTCCTTCTCCTAATTCAATTTTTATTCCAAGTAAGAAGAGAAAGTATAGAAGACAATGCCCAATTCCATTTTGACCCCTCTAACACCTTCTTTTCTTTTCTTCTCCTTTTTTCTGCCTTCTCCTTGTCCCATATTCTTGTCTTTTTGTCAATTTGAGAAGAAGCTGAAAAAACGAGGGAGAGAGACGCAGAGTACGTCTTACGCGCGGCATTAGTTTATGCGCGGAAGACGGGCAAAAAAGAAACGAAAAAAGAGTTTTGCCACCGAAAAATTTTTGTTGATATATGACCTGGTAACCTGAGTCTTTGTGCATGAGAAAACGGAGGAGGAAAAGGCTGCTCCAAAGAATACACAATTTTAGTTAAGTAAAAAGAATGAGTAGGTTGTCGTGGAAACCTTAAGAAGAAGAAGGAACAGGAAAAGAGTTATTGTGTAGATTCTATTCTTAGATTTTCTCCTATTATTATTTATTTTACTAGATAAAAACTCTGGGGGTTCCCACATTTTCTCCTTTACTTCACAACTCTTGAAATTCAAAATCTCTTCATTTTTTTGCAATTTCTGTATGATCTCAAATTCATACACTTTTTGACAAAGTGTCCCATTTTTGTTGGGGAAAAAGAATTTGAAAGAAAGCACCCATTCATTTTAAAAATTCTCAGTAAAATGCTTCGAATTCACCCACTTCTTCTTCTTCTTTTCTTATATTCCCATGTATTATATTGCTTTAGTTCATACAATTTTCGTGAATGCTTCTTCTACCGAATCTCTCAAAAAAAAAACAATTTTGTGTTTTTATTATCAGGAAGTTTAATTAAATGACTCATTCTTTGAAACGAACGATTTTGAACGATTCCTCATTTTTTACCAAGCATCAGCAATTGTAAAACGTTTTCGATTCATATCTTCTATTGAAAAAAAGGATGACTGACAGAATTACGTTCCATTAAAAAATAACAGTTTTTATTTGAAAATGGGCTTTGAAAACTGATTTTCAGAACCAGATACCGTAAACAGCTTTGAGCCCTTATATCTCATTTCCTGTAAAAGATATCAAAAAGTTTTCAACTGATAAAATGGTTATCAGGATATCAAAAATATTTTGTCAGTTGACCACCTTTTGCTATCTTTTACAGGGAATGAGATATATGGGCTCAAAGTAAAACGTTTGGGTGGAACTCTATTCGAGTGTTTACGGTATTTTATTTTCCTTTGAGATGGTCCTCAACAACTAAAAATTTTTAAAATCTTAAAACTTTTATTTTCTAGAATTCCAGAAATTCATTTCAAAATAAATAGTGCATTGTGTGAACACCATCAATCTCACTTTGTTATTTTTTTTCGGATTCCACTTTCGCTTTGAATATGACAAAACTTTCAATTCTTCCTCTCCTCTCACACATGTTTTCACAGAGCTCCTCCCATCGTCAAAAAGCATGTATCCATTGCTCTTTATCTGCAGAAACAACAACATCTGCACTTCTTTTTTTTCTTTTTGCACTGACTTCATCTTATTTTTCATCCTTCTTCCACCCCCATTTTCCTCATTTTCCCCGGCCCCGTTTCAAAGCTATCCCATTTCCGGCGGCGTCCAAAACGAGGGGAAGAAGAAGCTCTACGCAGTACATCATCATCTCAAATTGCCTCGTCCATTCTATTCCGAATCCCGAGACTTTCTCCCTTTCCGTTCATCTCATTTTTCGGCGTTTCCATGTGCCAAACGAGCTTTCTCTTACTCTCTATTTCTCTTTTCTATCCCTATCCTAGACCTCATTTCTCCAGATATTCTCCGCACATGTTTATTTTTTTCCATGATTTCCAGAAAATTCTGTGAACCAATGGAATTCTCTGATCGCCATGAATCATGTATGATTTGATTGAAAATATATGATTCATGATGATGCTTCTTCTGATACAATTCTACCCAGTGCTTTTGTTTCTTCTGTTCCTCTTCTTCAATTTATTTTTTTTCTATTATTTTTATTTATTCTTGCAGGGTAACATGGATCAGGCATGGCTGGAAATAATTGATAGATTGTGTATAGAAGATGCGGTTAGAATAAGAAGGACTAGTTCAAAGATGAATTCCCTGGTCAGTAAATCTTTGAAATCCAAGAAAAATTTGGATATCGAGTTAGACTGTCCAGCAGTTATTCAGAATCCAACAGCAATGGCTTCAGTTATTGGTGAGTTTTTTAGAAAATTGTAAAACCTATATTAAAAGAGCTCCTTCAATAGAAGGGTTCCTCTAATAGAAGGGCTCTCCATGAGTGGCTTTGAAAAAAAGGAGGGCCCCATCCAAATGCGTTGTCTGAAAGACAGTTTCTTGAAGGAATGGAAGAGTCGGCCCTTCTAATACAGGTTTTACGGTATTTGTTTCAGCAATTTAGAAAAAAGTATATTGCAGCTCAATGTTCTTATAATCTTCAAACTTTGGATCTTAAAATTCGTCCTGCAAACTCGAAATATGCAGTTGTCTCCAGTGACGTCGAAATCAGACAAAGAATCATGCAAGCTATAAACGAAAATGCTAAAAAACTGAAGAGATTTTCCATTGACAGGTAGGAATTCTTTCATGAATTCTCAACTCTATTTTTCAATTATATCTTCTTTCAGATGTCGTATTTCGGCTGGAGCAATTGGAAGCTTCGGTGATTTACCAGAGAGTATTGAGGAAATTAGCATAACAAATTCAATGATTGAATGCACCGAGTGGGATGTTGCCACAATAATAAGGAAATCATTTGAGACACTTTTCAAGAAATGCACCAAATTGAAATATTTCGAAATCTCGGTTGGTGCCTCGCTTGTTTAGGTTTTTACAGTTTCCTGCTTTCAGGGACGAAGTCTGAATGCTAGTCACTTCCACGTGGATCCTTCGATCCTTCAATACATTTCAAATACCATTGAACACTTGGCAATTGCAGTTGGGAATTCCCTGCGAATTGACAATTTGACTTTTTTGAAGAACAAAAAGTTTGTTCTTTTTTCAATTAAATGAACTAATTATGTTATTTTTTCAGACTGAAAACTTTGATTCTTCAAAGATCCTTCATTTCTCCCTGTGATCTAGAACGCATCGTTGCAATGTCAGACTCTATCACCCATTTGGATCTTTCCTATTCACCCAATTTATTGGATTGTCGAAAAATTTCAAAGCTGAAAAATCTGAAGTAATTACTTAAGTCTTCACAAATAATTGAGAGGTACAAAATCAACATTTTCAGGCACTTATCATTGATAAATAATCGAGATGGATTTCGAGACGATGCACTATCTCTGATAATTCAAGAATGTCCGAAAATCGAAGAATTGTTACTGGATAATTGTGAATCTCTCACAATTAAATCCATGTTATTTTTGGGAGGTTTGAGAAATTTGAAAAAATTATCATTGAGTGGAGTTGTCAATGTGAATGATGCAGTTTGTCAACAAATTACAATGTGCTCTAAACTCCAGTTTTTGGATATCAACTATTGTTTGAAGGTTTGCCATTCATTTTTTCGTGCAATTTTTCAAAATTTTTCCGAAGTAATATTAGGAGAATACCTGCCGTAAAACATGTATAGGAAGGAACTGTCACCAGTGATTCTTCTATTGTTCCAGGGTACCTCAGGAGGGCCCTTTACTACAGGGCCTTTTAATTAGAAGTGACCCTTTTATTTTTTCCGGACATTTCTTCTAATTTTTCAATCGAAAATTCGGCAATTTTTCGTTCGAAATTGATATATTAGTTTCACCGGAATTGAGCAAACTTTTGAGCAAAAAAGAGTTTTTTTTTTCATATTTCTGTGAAATTGTAGAATTTCTAAGATATTTCTTACTGAAAATGCCGGAAATATTTTATTTCAAAATATACATTATGAACGGGTTCCTTCTTTTACAGGGGGCCCTTCTAAAGGTTTTCGGGAACATTTAAATGCAAAAAATACGGAAATTTTTTATTTCAGATTGAAATCCACGGCATCCAATGCCTTCTGTCATGTCTTACTTCTCTTGTCCACCTCGAAGTTCTTGGAATCCGTGCATATTCTCATCAACTTCTCACACAATTGGCATATTATCCCAAATCGATTGTATCAGATTCAGTTCAATCATTTAGTTTCGTAATTCCCCCGATTCCTGTTCCTTCAGTTAAATCCTAATTTCATCAGTTTTTCTTTTTCCCATTGTTGTCCCCCGGTTGAACACTTTCAGGTTCAGTAGAAGTTTCAGTAGATCAACAAAATCAAATTCTAGTCATTATCACCGATTTGTTCTCATTCACGATTTTTTTCAAAAATCAATGCAATAAAGAGTTTAAGAAAATCAAATAAATCAAATTTATTGAAATCTCAATCTAAATATTTTACATTCAATATGATGATACCAATTAGGAAAAAGACTGGAACAAAAAACATGGCCAGAAGACGAATAACAATCCAATTGTAGTTCACTTTGATTGTCTGAAAAAAGGGATTTATAGAAGTTTAGAGAGAAAAAAAACCAACCGGATCATCATAACATCTAAATCTTGCCAAATCTTCTTTAACACAAACATGTCCTTTTCCACAATCTTTATTGAATTGACAATGCGTCCAATGCCTTGTAACTTCATCTCCATTTACATTATATTGTCCCATAAACCAAAGGTGTCCAGTACGATTATTACAGAACATGAAAGAATACGGTCCGCTGACACTTTGCTCTGTCGAGCAGCTAATATTGGTTTCGAATATTTCAACACCGTAGAATTCATCTGATTTACGCTTGATTTCTGGAATTCTTATTTTTACAAATATTTTCAGAGATTTCACTGGAAACTGACTTGGCGGACAGCTGTATCCTTTATAGCATAATCCACCCTTCTGTTCACTGGTTCCGGAATAAACCATATCTTTTTCAACGTCTCTGCATTTTTGTTGAGCGTACAAAGGAGTCACTCTATCCGGACACATTGGAAGTTCTGAGGATTTCTGATCAACTGAAACCCTTTTTGAAAATGGGTTGAAATTTCTGAAAACGAACCGTCACAACAATTTTGTGTCTCCAAATCGCACCATCCAGGGCTACAGTCAGTGTCTCGGGAGCAAGTAGTTACGGGATTAATTGGAATTCCTCCGGTACAAATTTCTTTGACTGAAATTCAACTTTAATTCTTGAGAAACCAAAAAGATTCATACCGTCTCTGATGCATCTAGAGTTATTGAGGCCAACAACCGAGAGACAATCGTAAGAACCGTTTGGGCAATCAGACAAGTTTTCACATTTTTCGTTGAGAGAAACTGAATATTTTGTTTTTAGCTACAGTAAGCTTATTTTCACTTGCAGTTTGATCTCGATTGACAAATTGGAATTAGAAGAAGAACTGCTAATAGACACGTATACATACTTGTGATGGATAAAATCAAATTGAAATTGAAAAGAGATTTTTCATGGTGGATCCGTGGAATAATATGTAACGGTTATTCAGGTCATGAAACTCTGGCACAGATTTTGAAGTGATATGCTGTTGCGCTTTGATGAGAAAGTGACATAGCAAAGTTTTAGGTCCGTGAAATATTAATTTTGAGTTGAAGAATCCACTAGGAATTGCGAGAAATCAGAATTTTTAACCGTCTACAAGTTTGCCATGTCCGTCTAAAAGTTTGCCCTTCAAGAGCATATCACAGCAGCTCAAACCCTGTGGGGTCCCGATGATGCCTAAAAACCCAGATTCTATTTTTTTTTCAAAATCCATTCGTCATCAGTTCGAATCAAGATCTGTTTACTTGCATTCCGGAATAACACATTCCCATATCTTTCTGATTTCCGAAAATCAAACTTGTACGGTATTCTACCGTGTTTTCTCTTTTAAAATCCTCTTTCCAAGTCTAAAGGAGAGAAATCTCCCCCGAACACACGTGCAAAAGGTGTGGATTACTGTATCCGCGCGCAAAACTGTGTGCGCGCCAAAACGCGTCTCCTCTCTCGGCAAATTCTTATCGCTTTCTTTAGTTTTCGCTGGTGTTCGCTCACGATTGGTGACGACCCATTAAAGTGTGGCTCACTGGTTTTAAAGGTTTTATAGTGGTTTATTGAGTAAATTCAATAAATAGTGTTTTATAGGAAATCTGTGTTTTGTATTCTTCTAGTCTTCAGGTTACACAGGTCTCTTTGAGTGCATAGAGGTTCTGTGAGTGCATAGCGTTTGTCTGTGGTTCTCACTCTCTCTCTCTGCATCTCGTTGTTTTCAATAGTGTCTTTTAGCAGTTAGTGTTTCTGGGAGTTCTTTCAGTTACATTACTAACTGAATGACTTCCCACAATGGACAGTATTCCAAAAATGATTCGTCACCGGACCAAAATAGCTTTATTCTTGTATTGTATACTGAGAAAAAAGACTATTGTTTTCGTAATATGTCAAATATAGAGATAATTAATTTCGCAAACGGAAATTATGATCATCGTCGGGAGGATCAACATTTCTGAATTTTTCATGATATTTTCGCCCCCGCTTTACCTTCGAAAAACGGAACATGAGGTTCCATAGAAAATGAGGTTTTTGGCTGTCGCCATTGTTATTGGAATACTCCTTTTTTTGCTTTCAACATGCCGAATCTTCAACGTTTTTCTGAAATTCTTAAATTCTATTAGAAATAGTAAAAAGTTATCTGACACAGAAACAGAGATGTTCGGATTCCAAATTCCGTATTCTGTGTTCCGTATTCCGGATCCTGAAAAAATGTCTTCTCCGAATTTTGAACTCATGTACATATTTATTCACAATATTTATCCTCCAAAAGGTTGCTTTTAAACTTCCGCAACAAACGATGCACAAATAAAGCATCATGAAACCTTGAGAAGATAACTTTCTCTGAATCTGGATATTGGAATCCGGAAAAATATACATTTTCACGGAATTCAGAAAATTTAATCAAGAATAAAATAGCAAACGATGCACAGATAAAGCACCATATACCGTACAACCTGTAATAGAATGTTCCCTATCAAGTTTGAGCTGATTTTTCTCGGTTCCTGTGAACGCTATCAAAAAGTTCAACTGACAAAATGTTTATCATAATTTCACAAACACTTTATCAGTTGATACATTTTTGATTTATTTTATAAGAACCGAGATAAATCAGCTCAAACTTGACAGTATACAGGCCCTTCTATTACTGGTTGTACGGTATATGGTGCTTTATCTGTGCATCGCTTGCTATTTTATTCTTGATTCAATTTTCTGAATTCCGTGAAAATGTATATTTTCCGGATTTTGATATCCAGATTCGAAAAAGTTATCTTCTTCCGGATTCTGAATTCTGTATACCGTTTCCCAAAAAAGTCATTCCGCAAATATTTCTGCACAGAAATCCCCAACCAATATGTGCCAACCGCATCTTGCTCCAAAAAAAAACTAAAAACCCACTTATTATTATTTCCCAAAAGAGAAGATTAAGCTAACTTCCAAACTATAGTGTTAGATAAGACGAGAAGAAGGAAAATAACTTTATTGTTGACAACGAACAAAGTATTCCAATAGATGTCTGAATATATGTTTTTTCTCAGTGTGTTATGATGCATATCGGTAGAATTCATTTGTTAAAGTGCATAATAAACAGTGGAACCTAGTCAGCAGAAGAATGACGATGCTTGCTTTTTGTTTCCTTTTTTAAGAGATTTCTGAATCACGTAATCAACCAACGTAACCCACTCTCTCTTTCTCTCGAATTGTGTCAAGCATGAAAATCGCGTGAGCTTAGGCTCTTTTAGGGAGGTGAATAGGCTCCGCCCGCTAATTCGTCTGATCCTATAAAACTGTTACCTCATTTTTACATATTTCACTCTCTTGTTTTTTTCTTCTTTACCCGGGTTCCTCATCTCGTTCGTGTGCTAGAGCAAAACTAATTGATCATATAACTCCACTTATTTTTTACGACTTTTTTGTTCCTCGACTTGAGCTGAGTAATCATATGTTCCGTACGTTGTAAATTTGAAATCAAGTATTATATTTTTGTTCTAGATCTACGATTCCAGAAGTAACTTGATACTTTTCATTCTTTCCTCCTCCCCCTTACTTTTTAATCTTCCCCCTTTCTCTTCCAATGGACCTCCCTGGACTAATAAAATCATAAAACTGAACGGAGGACATTTTTCTCAAAGCCCTTTTGTACACCACTTGTATTTTTTTCGACTCTGACGTGGTCCTATTCTTCTTTCTTTTTTGTTTGAAGACGTCACAGCATGTTGATGAGGTTTAGAATACAGGAAATAGGTTGAAGGGGCTAGGAAATTAAGACAATTACAGTTTTGATTGGTTTGCCTGACGATGACCAGTCTCGAGTCACTTGATGTGCCTATTACAACTATTTGGGCCAGATGTAGATTCGTATAAAAATTTTCGAAAGATCAACAACATTCGAAAACCGACGGTTACTTCTCGAATTCCATTTGAATAACTGCGTAGTCCATCAAAACATTCCCGAGAGCATAAGGACAAAATTTATAGGTGCATTTTTAGTTGTTATGTGTTTTCGGGTTAAATTTATTCAAGAAAGACTAGAGTCTCAAATTTAGCCCTGAATACTTCACTTTTTCTGACGTTCTTGAAGATCCAGATTGCCTCATCATCTTGAACACTGGGTTTCCAATCAAAAATGTCTGGCTTTATTGAATTTTGAGAGTCTCTTGAAAAGATAGATAGTTCCTTTTTCTGCTGTGAGATCTCTGAAATGATGACAATGCTAAAAATACCCATATGAAACGGAGATGAAGAACAAAAATTCAAGATGGTTACAAGTCTCGTTGTAGACGGTGAGACCGTAAGAGATTTGTGTTTCTGCGTAGCTCTACCGATAGCAACACTGCCATTTTTTTCTCTCAGGTTCAACTCCTCAAAGAGTTTTATATAACCAACCTTTGCCGGGAATGTTCGGAATAGCCTTTTCGGAAACTTTCGGAATATCGAAAATACCGAGCTTCAGATTTTTGGAATGTCGAAATATTTGGATATTCGGAATATGAAATTCTCATCCTAAAATTGGCAAACAAATTTCGAAAACGTCAATAAAATAATAAAAGTAACTCTGAAGCTCTAATTCCGGAAAAATCTGAAACTGGTTCCGAAAAAAAGCTTCGGAAACATTCCGACCGGAATTTCATCCCGAACTTTTTTCAGAATTATCACAGGTCGAGATGTCATTCCGAAAATAATTTTTTTTTTGGAATTTTTATAAAACTTTCAGCATTCCTAATTCCGTTACAAACATCCCCGACCTTTCCGAATTCTCTATTTTTTAAATATGAGCCACCAACTCACTATAATTCAACTTTATTAGTAAACCCAATGTCCTTATTCAAAAAACCCACATCATCTGAAAACAAGTCGAAATACACACAAATCAAATTCAAAATGTTCGATTTGAAATGACATGTTTCCCGAATCCATGTGATGCACAAACTACTATAACGATCCTCAAAAGACAATGATTATTTCGTCATCGTAACCTGAGCATCCTCTTCAACTTCTATTTTGGGGGACCAGCCTCTCTTTCCAGGTACGAACCTGCAGGACAACGTCGTTTTTCTCTTTTTTCTTGTTTCATTTTTGATCTCTTCGCACATCTTCCAACGACTCCGCCCATTTTTTCTTGGCGACTGAAACATTTCATCTGTGTGTGTATTCCGGAACAGCCCACCCCGATTAGCCCTCGAGAACATTTTCTTCTATCCCCTTCCTCTTCTTTTCCTTTTTCACAGCCATTTTTCTTCTGACGGATGTCGTGACGTTCGGGATGAGAGAGCCCAAACTAATCAAGTTGAAGAAGAAGAAAAAGGGAATGCACAAAAGTCTAAAAGTTCTTTCTCATAAAATAGTTTCAACTTAAATTTCCGGTTCAGTGAAACCTTCATTTCCTTAAGAATTCTCACACTTTGATTCAAATTTTTCACTAGTTTCGCTCCAAATGATACTTTTAATGATCAAACGATGTTGTCAGTTTGTGCTCCTCATTTTGTAGTGTCAAGGAACAGGAGGAGGTGGATAGACTCCCAGTCTTCCATATTTTTTGTAGTTTTAATTTCTGAATTCTCGAGAAACCGTTTAGAGGAAAACAGCTCAATTTCAGTCTATTCTTTCCCACCCCCATTTTTATTTTTAGTACATTTTTCAGTTACTCATAATTATTTGAAGCAAATCACCAGATCACCCGGTAATGAATCAGACACGCCTACAGTAATCCAGACATGGAAAAATCCAAAAATCTTAACACAAGAGATCAGATAACCAAAGTTTCAGTTGCCTCTTCTTCTCTATTTTCAGCTTTTTGACTAATTATGAACTCATAGAAAAAAACGCGTACTCAGAAATTCAAATGAGCAGAAAAAAGTTGGTCTACAGAAAATAAAGGAGAAATGCGTTGTATTGTGTAGAGAACGTGCAAATAGAAGAAAATGGCATTCTGTCGTCAGATTTCTTGGTAGAAGTGTGAAAGGATTGACATGGCTTTTTGGAAAGGATTACTGTAGGGGTATCACTACCCACCCCCTTCAAGTTTCAATCAGCCAGACAATTGCTTTGGACCAGAGTTGTTCGGATTCGGGATTCCGAAAGATCTTTTTTTTTCCGGATTCTGCGAAATATACCGTAAACACTCTAATAGAACGGCACCCGGACCGTCCAGTTTGAGCCTATATATCTCACTTCTTTTGAAAGATATCAAAAAGTTGTCAACTGATAAAATGTTTATCATAATATTAGCAATATTTTATTAGTCAACCACTTTTTGATATCTCTCACAGAAAATTAGATACATAGGCTCAAATTTGACGACTCGTGTGGCGTTCTATTACAGTGTTTACGGTATCTTTGTCCGAGCTCCATGTTCCGAATTCCGAAAAAAAAATATTATATTCCGGATCCTGTTTTCTGGATTCAAAAAATGATAAATCAAAAAAAAACTCTGAATTTAGCCCACACTTAAGATTCAAAAATTGTGCGTCATTGTCCATTTTCCTTATGTTTTTTGTTATAGATCAGCTCCTATTCTTTCGAGTCATCATAACTCAAAAGAATTCAGATCAAGTTCCACGTCATCGGGGAGTTGATCTACTCTCCTTGCTCTAGAGACTATTTCATCGACATTTGCCAACTCATCATCGTTCTTCAAAGATTCTTCTTCTGACACCGCCCACCTCCCGATGCAACCCGAGATGGGCGGCCTACTTCATAAAAAGTATTTGAAGGGTGGAGAAAAACTTTCATTCTTCTTCTTCTACTTTTCGTTTCGAGTTACTTCTCTCTACCAAAAACCACGTCACCTTTTGAACTCGGTCCGAACCTCGTTTTAGATGCTGGAGCTCCACCCCTTCTCTGCTCTTCTTCGTTCAGCCATCTTCTGATTTCATTCATTCATTTTCTCATTTTCTTGCTATTCTTCTTTTCATTATTCCTCATTTTGGGATATTTTAGGTAAAATGTCGGCCCGGTGGTTTGCGTTCGTCGCCCTATTGGCTGTTCTTCTCAGTGCACACACTTCTGATGCAATGTAAGTACGGTAGAAGGAAGTGATGTGTATTCAGGTGGAAAGAGAGAAAAAATGTGTTCGTGCGAAAAAAAAAGAGCAGCAAAGAAGTATGAAGGCAATGTAGGCGTCAATGGATATTTGTTTATCCTGAAGTTTTTTTTGTTTCTAAAGTATAGATAAAAGAAGATTAGGGTTAAGTCTAGACAACGAACAATGGGTAGTTTACCAGTTAGGAAAGGGTAGGATGAGGTCATAAAAGATTCGTCTGTAAATGATTCAGAATATTTTTAGCTTGAAATTCGGGGTTTTTTATTTGACTGTTTTCCATAATTCTGGAGGCCGACTTCTGAGATTTCTGACTTTTGAAAGTGAACATGAAACGGAAACACGTAGTCGTTTTCCTTTCTTCACCAGTAAAATATTTTCGAAAAAGGTTTCCCCCTCCGAATGCTCGCAATTTGAGTCATACTCCAGAAACGACCAGAAAGAAATTTAGCGTTTTATTGTTCATAAAAAACATAGAACAAAACCTCCAATTATTAATTCATGAATGACTGAAACTTCTCTAGTTTGGACTGGAAGTTACCAAAACTTTTTTCCAGTAATTACTCAATGTGTTTTTTTTCCGGAAAATTTTTCAAAATAATTTTTCCGGTGATGAAATACAGGCGATGTTGCGACACAGGGTCCTGCTCCGCGTCACTTCGAAACCAGTCATTTCGAAACCGGGATAATACTGGCGACCGGATTATTTTCAGGCTAAAAAAACAATTTTAGGGTTTTCAACTATGCTTTTCCTGATGGAATACATTTTGAAAGACAAGAAAGCCAAAATTTATTTTTTTTTCAAAAAAACATTTTAAATATTTTTTGAGTTTAAGAATGTGTTCTAATATCAGAAGAAGCATATTTGGAAGTGACTGTGTAGCGACTTAGCAGTACTGTCAATTTGAAGCTTCAGCGTCGAGACTAACGTTAATTTTACTGTAGCATTACGGTTACTGAATAAATAACCGTTATTCGCGTTCAAGCGCATTTAGAAGACGTTCCGAAAAAGAAACCCAGCATAAAAAGACCCAAGATCAACGTTTTCCCTAATTCCAGGCCACGCCCGGGACCAATGTCTCTGAGCAACACACGGAACTGTTTCTTCTCGCCAATGGGATGCGTTTTTGTTCCGAAGATGTCACGTATTCGGAAGTTGTCGGCCGACTTTCGCAACGAAATCCCGCCACCCGACTACATTTGATCTCATTCTGCTCCGCCGTTCTCCACGAACTTCACCGCGTTTCTTGTCGATCGGAGTGTTTCCTGTTCTCACAACTCATTCCTAATTATTTTCTCTATTTTGAAAGGTCTTCTTCTTCTTCTTCATTCTAAAATTCGGCATGAATCTTAAACCGTGTTATTTATTAAATCAACACGAAAATCACAGATCAAAGAGAAAAAAGAAAGCAATCACATAATAATGCACATAAATAAAGTACGCGTTTCAGAAACAAGACATAAAATACTACAACAATATGGGCACAATAATTTAAAACAGAGCCTATTTTTTGTTTAATTTGAACACTATAATTCATCCTTGGTTTCGTCATAGTCCTCATCCTCTTCATCGTCGTTTTCGTCTTCAATTTCAGCATTTTTTTGCTCGGTTGCTGCTTTCAATCCTGAAATTAGTGGAAATAAACAAGTATTCAGGATCAATGGCAATAAAAATGATTTATTATATTTTGAGCAGATTTTCAACAATTAACCGAAAATATGTCCCCGTTAAATATACACTGATAAGTCAGTAAAGTCCTAAAAATCGTTTTGCTTCATCGGGAATCGTGTCAGGGTTAACATATAGATCAACTAAAATTAGAGCCACAATTGCGATTCCAGTTAAAACGTAAAGAACAGGAGAGCCGTGCCAAACAACGAAGGTGATGATGATGATGAGGGAAGAGAAGGAGATGATTTTGAGTTGCTGAGCAATTGGCATGAACGGACGATCGGGATGTGCTGAACCGGGAGACAAGTGAAAAAAATTAAAATTGGTTTGAAATAATGGGTTAGAAGAAGACATGCACAGAAATATGTTAGGCGGTCAACTATTATTCTGGTATATTTTTATACTTTTTGTTACGGTAGCAGTCGTTGTGGAGCCTTCGGCCACGGCCATCGGCGTTTCTCTTCTTTTGTACCAGAATAATATATTGTATTTTTGTACCAGAATAATATATTGTAGGGGGAAAATAAGAAAACTGTGTGGGTAACGCTATGCATTTCTGAGTCTGTCTGGGATTTATCAAAACTAATTCTACCTTCTGGACAACTGGAGACCTCACAAGAAATGGCAAATACTCATTAGCTTGATGATCTTTTGCTAAATGCTCCCTTGCTAAATATGCTCACTTGCTAAATATGCTCATTTACTAAAATAGTCTCACTTGCTAAATTTCATTTACTAAATTTTGATCATTTGCTAAATAGAGGATTTGTTCAAATTGAAGGCTTAGGCTGAAACTCCTTACCGGAAAACAGGTGTTTAAGCCTTAGCCTAAAATTTAAAGCAAAAACCGGAATATTCTGCAAAAAATCAGTCAAAAAGTACTGAAATTAGCAAATAACAGCAAAATTTCCACTTTTTCCTTTTTAGCAAATGATCAAAATTTAGCAAATGAAATTTAGCTATTGAGACTATTTTAGCAAATGAGCGAGTTTAGCAAATGAGCATATTTAGCAAGTGAGCATTTAGCAAAAGATCATCAAGCTAATGAGTATTTGCCACAAGAAATGCATGCTAGCACAATGTCGAGGTTCCCAAAAAAAAATAGTTGAGTCCCAAAAAAGAGGAAAGGGATTTCATCCAGGGATTGAGTCCACCTTTGATTTCCCTATTTTTGTATTATTTCATCAAATTTTAAACGAATTTTTGAAAATTTAATACTCACCTTCTACATCGAGTTGGCATTTTCCTTCGTCATCTTTCTTGTATCCTTCTTCACAGTCACATTGGTATGATCCAATTGTATTGACACATACTTCATGATCTTTGGTACATGCAGAATGGTTCGAACATTCGTTGACGTCTGAAAAAAGGATATTTATGTGATTCAATTGTATTTTCTTCTCACCTTGGCAACCTTCTCCTTCTATCATTGCCCAACCATTTTTACACTTTGAGCAACCTTTGGATCCTTCTGATGAACAAATTCCCAGACATCCTTCGTGGCATTCTGAATATTTTTGAGCATATTTTTTGAGTTTTCAGAAAAATCTCACGTTTGCAGACGACTCCTTTTTCCGTTTTCGATTCTTCGAAGTACTCGTTGTCGCAGTGTCTGCAGAGGTTTCCAGTATAACCAGCTTCGCATTTACACTTTCCACTGCCGTCACGACTTCCATCTCCCTAAACAGTTAACTTGATTATATACTATATATCTTAAGAATTGATATTTTATAATTCTAAATAAATTGATAACAATTTTTTGTCATAGATACAATTTTTGAAACTTGTTCTTGGTCAGATGGTTAAGTGATTTTTTTTTGAATAAATAAACTTACATGACATGCTCCTTTGCCGAAACAAGCGTCAGCTCCTTCTTTCAATCCAGGGCACTCTTCGCAGTTTTTTCCAAAATGACCACCAGGGCAACACACTGAAATTTGGTAATTTTTTAAAGAAAAATCAGCGGAAAACTCACATTTTAGTTGTTCGACACATAGCCAAATTGACATATTATTCTGCTGCTGATTGTAATAATATTCTTCGATTGTTTCTTCGTGTTTTTCGAGTTGGGAGGCGCACTGAACATTAAATGTATTCAAGAAATTGTTTAAACATGAAAATAACTTACCTTGAATTCCAGCTCGCTAATTCCAGTAAATTTGTCTATATTCGGAAGTGAAGACTTTTTGCAAACGCCTTCTAGAACTTCGATGAGTCGTGTTTCGCTTGAATATTCATTTTTTAAATTGAAACTCATTGAAAATATGAAATCTCACCTTGTTTTGTACTTTCCAAGGTTTTTCTCCTCCCAAGCAGTGTCGCCTCCAGCAAAATGATGTCGTGCAGTTTTTTTCAAGCCCTGGAAAATTGCATTTTTAGATTTTCTTTGCACAAAATTGTAAATTACCTCGTCAAAAGTGCTCACTAAGAAGTTACAAGTTCTACACTTTTCATTTTTGATGACAACCTCCTTCTGTGATGACATAACGATCGATACAGCGACTAGCAACAATATTCGGCTCATTTTGACCCTGTAAACGCGAGAAAATCGATTAAAATGCCGGAAATTAATGACAAACCGTTATAACAGAAGCACACGTTGTGTAAAAGTGCGGCCGAGTGCACTGCAGAGTGTGTCGACGTTGGCCAGTTTCTCGGCCATCGGAGAGGAAAAAGAGGGGGAAAGAAGAGAAATACGAACAAATATTGGCTCTAGTCGGGATTACTTTTAACGGACGGCACTGACTCGTTTGATAAATGCAGGGAATTAAGTAAAAACGGAATTCAGAATTTCAAGAAGTTTTAATTTAATCAGTGTTTTTTTCTAAAAACTTAGGATTTCGAAACCTAAATATGATTTTCTAAATTTACTTTCTATGGATTTTTTTCCGAAAAAAAAACTCTGAATTTTTACCGTATTCTTTTAAAGGTTCATCGTTGAAATTGTTCACAAACTTCGCGACGAATGTATTTATTACTGTAGTTTTATAAAAAAGTTCAATTTTCATAGACAAAAAAAAGAATTGCACCCAATAAATCATAAATACACTGAATATTCAATATTCAATACAATTGTTCATTTTTCAGCTATTATTTAAAGACTTTCAAACAAACATTTTATCAGACACAAGGTTCAAAGTAATAATATTTGAGACATTTCTTTTTGTGGGGTTCTCTGTAATTTTTTCCCAAACAAGTCAGAAATGAAAAATTTTTGACATTGAAAGATTCCCTGAAAACGAGCGAAGATCGAGATAATATATCCGGAAAAAAAATCCTGGGCTTCGGTAGTTGTCGTTGTGAGATCTTCGACAACGGCCACCGGCGTTTCTCTTCCATTGCTCCGATTTTTTGTACCAGCATAATAACCGATCTCCAGTCAATTTAAAATATTATTTCACTAGAAAAAATGATAATTTTCACAGAATAATGGGGAAGTATCCAAGCTGAAAGATCAGATTCGTTTTTTCTGATTCATAAGTTATGAATAAACAGGGTACTGTTTTGATTTTTGTAGTTTATTCAGCTGCCCATTCAGAACGCATTTTGACCTCGAAGCAATCGCAAACACACGATTATTTTACAATTCATAGATTACTGTACTACTAGTCATGAATACGACAGGTTTTCCTAACTTGCATTGTTAGGTACTTTCTCATTAAATGTCGTTAAACATGGTTCACGAATCGAAAAAGGTCCTGTTATTCTTGACACTTCGCACGATTTGATGGGCGGTTCGATTACGCGAGAAACGATCGAAGAGCATTGAATAGGAAGAGAGGCTGAAGACGGTTCTGGAGGACAAATACGATGTTTGAAAAAGAAAAGATGAGCCGACACAAAACAATGAAAAAGGAACCCGCGGGGAAAACGAAGGCAATGTCTTTTCAATGTCTTAGTTCGTGTCAAAAAGCAACCGTTCACTTCTTCCATTCCGCTTGACCCCCGCATCTTTTCATTGACGATTCACACTGTACATACCGAAGGTTGATTTGCAAAAAAGGCATGCGATAGACTGTCAAAAAAAGTGTTTGTTGCCAAAAGCGGGAGCTCCAGGCACTTTTGCTTCTTCTCTCACCCTCCCGGGCGCGGCTTCTTCTCCATTCCCTCTCCCGTATTATTGCTTGCTCTGAATGTCCATCTTTTATTTACTCTTCTCTTTTTGTGAGTCGTCGGCTGGACGACTGTCCCCTCCGGCTCTTGATCTAGCCTTTGTTCCAGCGCCCTTTGCACCTTTTCCATCTCCAGTTCTCAAGAGCTAACAGGGCAGACGGTCGTATCATTTTTGGAATGACACCCACTTGTCTAGTCTCTCTTTTCTTGATTCATTTTTTTGTTGTTGTTCAAAAAGTTTCTTCAGTTTTCTAGGTATATATTATGCTATCTGGAACTGATATTGTCTGAGAAATAAAGTAGAACTACAGTAGATTTTTTTTGATAAAAAGTAACCTAACTTCCAGAAGTTGTAGAGTCCTCAAGTTTCTATTCTAAACTTTCTTGATTGATTTAAGAAGTCTGATATCCGGTTTTTGCAGAATTTCAAAAAGAACTTTAGGTTTTCAAATTAAATATCGAACCATTCATGTTGCTTTTTGAAATAGAATATACCGTAATTTGATAAATTAAAAAATACGACAATCAACTTTCAAACATCAAACAAAACTTTTAAAATCCCTGGAATTTTCTACCAAGAAGTTTCTTAAAAGACCCAGTAGTTGTTTTTTTCCGTTATTACTGTACAACTTGTAATAGGAGAGTCCCCAAAATTGGCTCAAAGTTACAGTTCTCGGTACCAGTTTATTTTGACTAATCTACTGCATATTTACCAAACCAAACAAATTTAGAAATCTTCCTATTAGTAAAATCTCAATTGCGCCTAGTCAATTTTTTGACGAAACAGAATTCGGCTGGAACAAAATAAAATGTTTCCCAAATTTGAAAATTCATTTTCTCAACTCATGGAAAATAGTTGGGCTCATATAAATTTGAAATTGACAGTGTATTTTTATTCCCCAACCGACGAAACCATGTTCTGTGGGATCTCAACTTTCGGTTTTCATGCACCACGTCATGATTCGTCCACTTAAGACCTAGTTCCGTTCTGCTCTTTGCCTTGTTGTTCCTGATAATTGTCCAGTTCAAAATATCAAAAATCCGCGCGTTGAAGTGCAGCGCCAAAAAAGTGGTCAATGTAGAAAGAAGAGACCTAGAGAACTTATGTGCATACTGTTGGGTCGCCTAGGGTGTGTGTCATCAGCTTGTGGCGCCTTCTCTGAAGAGCATAAAATCAGAGCATGGCAGAATTAGAGAACATGAGAGAAGAAGAGACGTAGACAGTTTACATGTGATGACAAGGATTCCGGATAGGAAAACATTAACCGGCCGGAGCGGCATGCCGAGGGAGGAAGAAAGCATCCGTCTGTGAACGGGTACTCCGCCCTCCGTAGCTTCTTCCTGAACCATAATCTGAACTTTCTCTACCTCTGTCTCTCGCTTATATTTCCTTCTATTCATTCTGCACATTTACAGGCAGAATTCATACGGCACTCGGGTACACACTTCTCAATTCAAAATGAGATTAATTCATTCTTCCCTTTTGTTCTTTGCTTGTTTTGGTAGTGCACTTTCAGTCGGTGTACTTCCAATTCCTAATGAACATGCATCTAATATTAAAGCAAAATTTGATGGTGAGTCTTTTCATTCTTTATCAATAAGAAAAAATTAATTTTTGAGTACTGTAAACACTAAAGCGCCAAACCCAAATTGTCAACTATGAGATCAATTATTTCAACTTCTATAAGAGATAACAAAAATTTTTCAACTAATAAAATTTTTGCCATGAAATCAGTAACATTCCATCAGTTGACACATTTTTCGTCTTTCTTATTGAAATTGAGAGGATTGAGCTCAAAGTGCAAGTATAGTATTAGAGTGTTTAAGTTCATAATGCGCCAGTTCGCCTCACGGTCTTACTGTACCGATTTCAAATAAAACAAAGATTTTTTTCTTCTTTCGGAATTATGGAATTAAAGTTTTCTGATGACATACTTTGGTTTGACCACTATAAAGGATTTGCAGATTTTGACTTCAAATTTTCTGAATGCCCATCTTTTTGGAGACTAGCCACGGCATGGGACAGAACCTACTAATTGATTATTATAATTTAAAAACATGTTTCAGATTATGCGGAGCATTACCTGCTACCAGAAGACTTTCACAATGCAGAAACTGCTCCTGTTAAAAAACCAACTGATGCAGAAATTGAATCAATGCAAAACTCTCTTCTTTTCGAAGGAGATATTATGGGAGTTCCAGAAATTGAAAAGACTGACATTTTGAAGAGACTCAGAGATGATCCACTCATTGATGACGATGAAATTTTCACAAAACCAGTGAGTTTTTGAGCAGCTCCAAGTCAAAAAGAATCTTCCGATTTTCTAGTTTCACAGTGCTTTGAACTTGGTAACCTATCCAGATAAGCTGTGGCCAGAAGGACAAGTTCCGTACATGTTGGAAGAAGGAATGACTAATGAGTGAGTTCTATTTCGTTTGAAAATATTCAAGTAGAGCATTTTCAGCCAAAGAACAGCAATTGCTCAGGCTTTTGATGAGTACAAAACCAAGACATGCGTCAGATTCGTTCCAAAAACTGACGATGACTTTGATTATATCTATGTGAAGAGAAATGTCGCATTCGGATGTTCTTCGTATGTTGGCAGAGCTGGTGGAAATCAAACAGTGTCGTTGGAAGTTGATAAATGCTTTTCTAAGGTTTGTCAAATAGACTTTTTTGTGTATTGATAGCTTTGGGAGTTTTCTTTTTCTGAAATCGTCTTCATCATCCTCTTTGACCCAGTTTCTGTCTAGATATCAAATAATTTCAGGGAATTATTGCTCATGAACTGATGCATGCCCTTGGATTCTTCCACGAGCACTCACGAACCGATCGAGACGATTTCGTAGATATAAACGAGGATAATATCCGCCCGGGAATGATGCGCAATTTCGAAAAGTATCCACGAAAAATCATCGACTCGCTTGGAATGCCATACGACTATGAATCAGTAATGCACTACCATAAATTGGCATTCTCTCGAAACGGAAAACCAACAATTGTTCCAAAAGATAATGAAGCAGATGTTGGACAAAGATACAAACTTTCTGAGATGGATTCGAAGAAAGTCAATAAACTTTATCAGTGTGGAGAGTATTCGAAAACTTCCTATACAACAACAACAACCACGACTACAACTACAACTACAACTACAACTACTGAAGAGCCGACCACAACTACTGTTGAAGAGGTAGAGGAGAAGTCGAAGGAAAAGGAGACGTCAAGTACTACAACGACTACTAAAAAACCAACGACAACTGTAGCCACAACAACTTCTACAACACCAAAACCAGTAGAGAGATCCAGAAATAAAAGTGAGTTTTGAAGAAGTTGCTTCCTAGAATTTAGAGAATCCGAACATGTAAACCGGGCCTATGGCGGACCTTTGCGGGCCCTGCCACAGCTTCTTTCAGAATCAATATTTTCGAATCAACTAAATTAGATATGATAGAGCTTGACGAGTACTACAAAATATTTGTTTACCTGGCTTGTCTATAAACCAAAATTACAGACGAAACAGGCCGAAAAAAGTCGGGCCCTTAAGAGACAAGATACAGTTTTCCGAATAATACGATTTTGTATTACTCGTTAAATTCTATCATATCTGATAATTAGTCCAAAAATATTCATCTTAATAGAAGTTGTGGCAGAGCCAGCAAAGAGCCGCCAAAGGCTCAGTTTACAAGTATGGGAAGGTCAATTAAACCATAAAAATATATTTTTCAGAATGCGAGGATTTGAACGCTCATTGTGGAATGTGGGAACAGTTAGGTCATTGTCAACACTCTGTCAAATATATGGCTCACTACTGTAGAAAAGCTTGTGGTCTATGCGAAATTGAGGTTACGACTACAACAGCCAAACCACTTCCACGTAACAAAGAGAAAGAAAACAAGTCATCTACGTCTTCTTCTATCTTTTCATCAACTCCACGTACCACTATCACCACAACAACACAACCAAAAGAAAAGTGTGAGGATAAGAATCTGTTCTGCAGTTACTGGGCCAAAATTGGAGAATGTAACAGTGAGAGCAAATTCATGAAGATTTTCTGTAAGGCATCGTGTGGTAAATGCTGATAATCTCAACAATATTTCACTTAATTTCAAATTACTTTATCCTCGGGTTTTCTTCCGTTTCTTTTTTGAACCATTCACCCCATCCATCCGGTTCTTCCCCCAAATGTGTCTTTCATTTTAATTGTAACGACCATGTCGTAGTCTTTCACATATGTTTTATAATATAATGTATCCTATTTCATTCATATGAATTATTGATAAAAACACAAAATATTACACATTCAGAACTGGGAAAGAAAGAAAGAAATGAGGAGGAAAGCAATGAAAGAAGTTTGGAGGAAAAATAAATACTCGTTTTGTTCCTGTCTGGATTTAAAAAAGACCAAGGACTGTGTCATTGGCAAGACCCATATCATACAACTGTTTCAGTTTCGCTAGTTGAGCGTGTTCGTCAAATGTTTCAAATACTGACGGAGCAGAGAACACGATTCCTGAAAATTCAAAAAATATTGTTTGCTAACAAGGGAACGTTTTCAAAATGCCCTTTGAGAATTTGCTGAAATTTTCAGTACTTATAGTTTGAGGCATACGCTACGCGGTGACATAAATATCTAGCTCCCATACTCATAAAAAAAGCTGGGCATGTCGCGGCTGAAAACCGATGAAGAACCAACAATGATCCGTCGGCAAGCCCCGGACAATACGACTTTTGAGATTTTTGTCAGAATAGTTAAGTAAAATATCAAATTCGAACGAAACACTTTTCGAATTTTTATCAGAAACCTCTCTTTTATTTTGAACTGACATTTGGCGGCTGAACGGCGGCTGAGAATGAACGAGCGTGCTACTCGCGGGTGAAAGATAAGGGTGGCTTATTGGATGAAATTTTTTTTGCTTTTTTTGAAACAGATTTATGATATTCATTTCGGTCCTCTAGATATCACATGATATTTTCCGCTTTCAGCATATTCGGCATATATTCCTTTGTACGAATTTTCAGCGAATTCTCAAAATCTTCTTAAAATGTTCCCTTGTAATAAACAACCGTCCACTTTGATTCTATATATCTCTTTTCCTGTGAAAGGTATCGAAATGTTTCAAACTGACTAAATTTTTATAATAATATTAAAAATATTCTGTCAGTTGACCACATTTTGATACCTTTCCCAGGAAATGAGATATATATGTAGTATTAAACTTTAAAGTTTGGGTGGCACTCTAGTAGGGTGTTTACGGTAATTTTTCATTAATTTTGATCTTTAGCTACACTGAGCCTAAAAAACAGATCTTCACACAAAGATCTTGTTCAAAATTCAAAGCGAAATTCTCACCAATCGTTCCTCCGACAGTTGCTCCAAAGAACCCATATAAAAGAAACCGATCGACAACGCTGGCAATGAATTTCCAATCATCTCGAAACTAAAAATTCAAATACATTCTCATTTTTACTTCTCTCCTAGTTTTCTGAAAGCACTCAAAGTGCAAATTGCCACCCACCTGCTTGGTTATCTCTTCATCTCTACGATTCTCAGTTATAAACTCTATCGCATCAATTGCTCGTTGAGCTTCCGGTGACAGCTCATCATCCAACTCATCACTTTGAATTCTCACTTTCCGGCAACTATCCCTACAAATTCATACACATCAAAACTCAATCAATTTTTTGAAGAACATACGGATTATGAGTATGTCTGCATAATGGATGATGTTCACCGGGTCTCATTGGATTTTCTTCAACACTTGGACCAGTTTCAAGAAGTTTTCTATGGCTCTTCTGAATCACATTTTTCCGATGAGGGCGTTGCATACACATTAATAGAGGTAGCCACTGAAAATAACAGAATTGCCCAGAATTAAAAAAGAAGAGACACTTACATCAAGAAATACTTTTCGGACCCACGGAGGTAGACGATGAGTGATAGGACTTCGAAAATAGATATTACAAATGATAGTGGTCACCATGATAGTAATAATATTGAGTACAAAAGTGAGTAAGAGATACTTGGCAACTAGTGGAATTGAAGAAGACGTCGGAGGTAGAATTTTGGAGACGAGGAGTAAGAACACAACGATCGACAGCAACACGTTCATGGTCAGTCCCATTTTTTCTCCTGAAGCCGTCGGAAGATAGAATACTGTCACATTCAGAAACGCCATTAAAACGGTTGGTAGAATCAGGACAACTGTGTAGAAGAGAGTTTTTCTTCGAATTCTGATTTGAAATTCGATTCGGCTCCTGTCTGATGTTAAGACTGCTGGTCCATCCATCATATCCCATATTGAACTTGTTGAATATTCAGAAAAGTCTACACGATCAGCAGTTAGAAAATCCAGTTTTATTTCGTCTTTGTTGTACTGAAACATTATATGGATTAGTAGATTCTCTCGAAATATAAAATGCTTACCGTCCAACTTCCAAATGTCAAACTGCATAATTGATCATCGAATGGAAAGAACTCAACATCAATAATACAACTGCTCTTATAAATTGCAGGTGGAACCCATAGAACTGTTCCAGTATGAAGGATCAAAACATTGCACATGAACGACACTTCATAATTTCCATCAGCGCTAAAAAATTATTGTATTTTGTTTTTATAAAAAACACTAACTTATTGAAAAGTACAATATCGGGAAGCCAAACTTTCTCAGGAGCAACTCTAATCTGTGTGATGTTTGCATAGTCTCTTGGATCCCATTTCAATTGAAAATCGTCCCATTTCATTGTCAACCATACGTTTGTATGCATCACTTGTTCTTTTTCATCTACATTAATCAAAAGAACAAGTTGCATTCCAATCTTCACAATCATCGGAAGTTCGGATCGATTTCGAACTGGTTGAACGAGAGAGTTGTATCCACGAAACAAGTCAACCATTAGACGGTCTTCTGCGTCGATGTCTTCTGCGCTGACGTTGGTTGGAAGAAGAATGCATCCTGTGAAAATCAGACTTCTTATTTTTGACAAATTTGAAAGGTATAGGTTGTCCAATTTCTCAAGAATATTTTTTTTAGGTTAACAAAGGTGGGTTTCCTAGATACTTTAAAACCTTTACTAGAAGGGCCCGTCCTAATTGCTTTATCCCATGAAGTTCGCAAGAAACATTACGCCGGCCATCTTTGGACAGCCATAACAGTACTTAGACATGAGAAATCGCTTTGAAAATTTCAGGAGCTGCGAATCAAATGTAAAATTGAATTTCTACCAATTTTAGTGATTTTAATACACTTATATCTAGAGATATACCCGTTTTTATCAGTCCGGGAGATTGTGCGCCAGCCTGCTGCATTATGCACAATTCAAGGATTTGGTTCTGTGAATATTCATGGTAAAATTCCAACTACTATTTCTCTTCTGTCTCATTTCCTTCGACTTCCTTCCTTTTTTTTTCTTTTCAATGAATATCTTTTTGGACATGTTCTTTCCTTCTTTTTTCACTTTTCTAACATACTACTTTTTGTGGGCCATCATCCATCTTTTCGTCCACTCCTTCTCTCTATTCTTTTTCAACTACCTAATCCTTGCCAGAGGCATCAAAATAAATCCCGGTGCAATTTTTCTGTCGTTTGTTCGGACTCTCTCTTTCTCTCTAGTACCTATCACCTCTCGACTTTCTTTTTTTCAGATCCCACCCGGCTAACTTTTTGTGTGTTTGTCATTATATTTTCAATTCAGGTCTGACTATGGTATGCCATATATGGAGTTTTCGTTTTATTTCCTTTAAAAAGTATGAGGAAGACAAAGACAAAAAAGCAGTGTTCTTGTCACAAATTGTCATTCGAACTGCCGCCTCGGTTAGGCTCATGGGAATTGAATTGGTGTCGAAAAAGGAATGAGAGAGCTCAAAGTTGCAAAGCCGAAAGAAGAAAAAAAAAGGAAAAAAAGTTCGCGAGCAATTAGGTGAAAAACTTTTAGCAACTTTTTTGACAATTTGTAATGAAGTAATAAAAAAATGGAAAAAGAATGTAGAAGAGAGGGGACAAGTGGAGTGGAAACGCACATGACCATTATGGGAAATGGACGGTGGAGAGTAGCCAAAAGAAAAAAGAAAAAGCACAACACACCTCGTCAATTTAGGCAGGGACTAGAACTAATTGAATGAGAAGAAGTTTCGGAGAGTGGTCGAGATTTTGACTACTGAGAGTGAATGTGTGCCACCCATGAAGAGAATGGATTTTACGTAGTAGTGATGATGGGAGGTCAAGAACGATTGGGGAATTAGGAAACGGATGGGTGGCGACTCAAATGCTTTTTCGGCGGTTTTTTGGAATTGGTTCATTTTTAAAAGGATTTAGAGAATTCCAAACGGTTCAAATAGTAAGAAAAAAGTGACAATCAATCAAACTCCAGTTTAAGAGCTTATTGGTCTAAAAATGTCTGCACCTCATAAATTTAAAAAAACGCATTAACATCAGAAAGATTTTTAATTAACATCAAAAAAAGTAGAAATCTTAAGTTTTGAGCAGAAGAATATGAATAGGTCCTCCTTGTCTTTTTAAAATAAATGAATGTGTGAATCTATTTCAAAAAAATGTATTCCATGTTTCATCCATAAACAACCCACTGGAAACGAATTACACGGCGACTTTTTCGAAAAGTCTGGTAAAAGTGCTCAAACGCGAATACCGTAATACTACAGAAAAATTAGCGTTGGTCTCGAAGGGAAAACTTTAATTTGAACTGCTGAGTCTTACGATTTTGTGCCTGCATTTCATCAGAAAATCGGGAAAATAGGAACATCTCATAAAAACCTAAGTCATTCTGAAAAGTTTTTATACTTGATTGTTTTCAAAAACTTAAACTTCGACGTCTTCAGAATTTTTCCTACCAGACCAACTTATAGCCTCCCGTTCTAGTTTTCTCTATTATTGTAATTCCCTAAGTCAGTCTAGACATCAGAAGAACCCTGTTCTCCATCTATTTTTACTTCCAAAACTAACCTGTCAAAAGCACAACGAGAATCGTCGTTTTCCACCATCCTCCACCTCCTCCTGACGGCATTCTCTCGTTCGAAAAAACGAGAGATTCAGCTCATTAGAAGTGCGAGATGAGCAATAATAATAGAAGAAAATGGTGGCGCCACTCGTTAAATGAGATTCTCCTCTCGACCCGATTTTCGAGTGGCTTCGAGGATAAGAGCTTCTTCTTCTTGTTACTCTTCTTTCCCTACTTCTTCTGTTTCTTTTTGACGACGTCGTCGCGAAATGGAAGAATCAGTGTGACGACGGAAAAGATTGTTCGCAAAGAAATGATATAGACTCGACAAAGAGGAGCAGAGGAGGGTCCCCAGCAGAGCACAAGAAACAGAAGAGAAGGAATGAGCGGGCAGTGTGTAAAAGAATTGGGGGACCCGCCTCTTAGCGAAGCTCTCGGGCACGACGGTGTCGCACCAACTGTTCTGGCCATCTGATCTGTCGGGAAGCTAGAAGCTTGAACGAGAAAAGAAACACCATGTTTTCATTTATTTTTACCAAAACACACCTAAAGGGTGTTGAAATCTCTATGCGATTATAATAACAAGCTATATAAATCTCAACATACAAAACTTATTTAAAAGTGCTAATGGTATGGAGAAAACGACGGGAATTCAAATAAATGTACAAGAGAATAATGATAGACGGGAAAAGAAACGGTGGAGAAAGCTCGGTTGGGAATGAAATGGGCTATCGAAAAGTGAGGATCATAGTTGACCAGATTCAATATCCAGGCACGGGAACGGGAATGGGAAATTGCAAAAAAGAATACCTACGATTTATACATAAATGGCCGAGGAGTCCGAACTTTAAAAGACCGGGCATTGCAGCACAGATGAATGAGGGGTTGGGAATGCTTTCGTTAATTTGTATTAGATTTTTAAAAGAAAAAAATGGTTAAAATTAATCGAAATCGATTCCCGGCAAACTAGACTATGATAAGGTAGGTGAAGGGGATGGGAGCGAGAAAAAAAGCTATGCACTTTGAAAATGAAAAGGTACGCATAAAGACACAACAACTAATTCAGTTATTATCATTATTATGCTTTTATCATACTCCGACTCCGGGTAGAAAACTGGAGACAGGGATGAAATAACTGGGGATGTAAAGATAAGGTGTAGGATACAAAAATGATATAGAGTGAAATGAGTATAAGATAACAATATACACATAGTGTTAAACTGAAAATTTTGAGATGATCAATATACAGCCTATATACAAGCAATTATGAATATATGGCGTTGTTGCAGCTTCTAGACTGCACTGTTCCGGCTTCGATCTTCCGGCCAGAAGTAGAACTTTTTCAGGAGTCTTGAAGTTAGCTGAAACAAAATTATCAGTTATATCCACACGTTTCACCTTCCTACCTCTGGCATCTGCTTCAATATGTTTGATCCTTGAGATGTCTGGAATCCACAGGCAACTTTCTTGTTAACCTCAGTGAGCAATTCAACGACGTCCATATCTTTAGCGTGAAGTGAGAATACTTCACAAACAGCTTGAATGAACCACGAACCACGAGCACTGTTTCTCCATGACACATATTGAGCCGTTGTTGCATAAGCAATCAACATGTCTGCTTGGCTCGGCTTTTTCCGCCATACTTGCTGAAACGAAAACTAAAACATTCTGTGAAATTCGAGGCGATAAACGACTGATAATTGAATAGTCCGCTAGTTTGGGAAAACAGAAACTCGGATAATTGGAAGATATCAAATTAGCTAGTTTGCCCCATTTGCACTTTCTCGACACGAACCTGCACTTGGGGCCGGACACATCCAAGAAAATTGAACAATGGTCCGTCTCGATTATCCCATCCGCGACGGATCAGACTAGGTACTCCATCAACTGAATCAAGAACCGGGAAGCCATTGTCACGACGCTCTGAAAAATTTTTCAAATAAATTTTTGCATTTTTTATTGAAGAAGACACGAAAACTTTTGAAGAATCGTTTCAAACACTAAGACATCAAATAACTCACCGCCTCGACATGCTTGAACAAACACCAGTTTCGGCTTATTGGCCAAACGAGGAGCATTGGCAGCATTCAGGAGATCGTAAATTTCGTGAACGTTTACAGAAACATCATCAACTCCGATAATAACGTTCTCTTCTCCGTGCGACAAAATGACGAGTATTGCAGAATCTCCATGCATATCGTTTCTTCCGAAGCTTCGAATAGTGCTCAACATTTCCTAAACTTAGAAAGTTAGCTAGGATTTCATACTTTCTCATACTCTGCCGGTCAGATTGTCTTTGCATATGACGGTATATCCCATGCATCTGAACAAATTCGTTATGTTGTCCTTATCGGCTTTCGTGCCGTTTCTAGTTGGCATCTGCTCGAAATGTTCGTTGTTTATTATGAGGCATAATCCACGGGGGCTCGAAAAGTTGCGATACATCGTCTTTTCGTCAAAAACGCGGTGTATGGTGGGCGCATCGACGTAATTCATGTCTTCTTCGTGGAAAATGTATTGTGACTGAGCCGACGTCTTGCTGAACGAACGATTCCGACTAGAACTATAGCCGAGTGAAGCGCATCCGGTGAAAGAAGAATTCGCAGATGCTAAAGGAAAAAAGTTAGTCGCCAAAACAAAAATAGAAAACTAACAGGGTTGACTGGGGAAGGAAGTAGCTGCTGACATATAATTATGACGATCAGATGATTGAAGAGGGCGAGACGACCGCGAACTTGACCGTGCTCGGGAATATACATCCTGATAGGTAGATGTAAACGATGAAACCGACGAGATGCTATCCCGGTGAACACGGGTAGGTGATGCATATCTAGGTGGACTGAGTGCTCGGCTACGACGATGACTTGAAGGAGACATCGGGCATTCCATCGGGACCGGATTAACAGCACAGTTAATCCTGAAAAGTTCTGTGGAATTAGTCATAAATTCAAAAAAATACTGACGGTCTAGAAAGAGGCATGAGGACATCGGCAAGATCGTTGTGTCCTGTATCGCGTAGAGCGTCATAAAATGCGTCGAACGCAACATCTCCACGTCTTTGAACAGCTTTGACGATTTCTTTTCGCTTATCGCGTTCGGTTCGACACGACTGAAAATAAGTTTCTAAACGAATTCTGAACGAGAAAGGTTTTAACGAACATTTATTACATCACCGTTATCAGAGTTGAGAACTTGTTTGGCAATGAGAACATCGAGAATCAAGTCGGCCTGTAGTTTAGAAGAGAACTCTAGAATGTTTCTCTCCAGCAAACTCCGTCTATCCGGACGCATCATCCTCCTCACCGAATGCTAGTCTGAACCGACCCGTTGGCAGAATTCGATATTTTAATTTAGTCTGAAAGAATGAAATACAATGTGTACGAAAAATAACATTGAAGAGAAGAAAAGCGAAGAAATCATAAACACAAAGCAAAAATATTTAGATGAATTCTTTCTATATTGCGTAACAAATCGGAGAAAGTTTTGCCAGTTTATGACCGATTGAAAAACGTTTACGATGAGCTCTCGCTTCTTCTTCTCGCACTTCAACACAAAACGACGCCGTGAATAAAAACGGAAAATGAGTCACACATCTGGCAGACAGTTCACATTTCCTAAGGATAATTGGGAGGAGCAGGTGGTAAGCAAGGCGGAGTGTACCGAAAACAAACCGGATAAGTTGAGAACCCAAGGTCACTATGGTGAAAGAAGTACGAAATTAACCGGTGTTTCATGACAACTGATTGGGAAAAGCAAAGATGAGAACGATAGACAACATGTGAAACAGGGATCGAGTTGAAAAGCAACTTGTATATCAAATATTCATGAACTAACGAGACGCAGCATTTACACTGCATAATAATTAAAATTTGTGCATTAAACACAGTGAAAAGAAACGATAAATGAATGAACCAAAAAGTAGCATTTTATATGAGATAGTGGTTTCGTAAGTGAGTACTAAGTGGGGTCAAACCAGATAGAACGCCGGCAAGGGGCAATGAGCAATGAGTCGAGTGGACACACATTTATTAATAAAGAAAAATGAAGAAGGTCAAACAAAGAAGAAGCGAGTGCTTTATGAGGGAAATCGTTCAAAATTTTATAAGAATATTGCATGACATAACAATTAAAGTTTAGCGACGAACACATCGGTAACCAACTATTCCCGCAAAGTTATGATCCGTAAAGAAAAGGAGCGGCAAGAACCAAAGGAACTCAAAACTAATTTTTCTCTGATGCGTTCGAGTAGAAAGTTAGTGGGAGGCAAATCTAATTCAGTTATCGATTCACTCAAACTCGCCGAAAGATTGTCAACCGCTTTTCGTGAAACAAAGGGTACATGCGCTGGTGCAGCAAAGGTCAGCCGTATGGCGGCGGCAAACAGAATTCGAACGTTTGTGCTTGGCGGCGGAGTGTGGGTCACCAGCAGGGCGCGTTTGTCCGGTAGCAAAAAATGATCGCACGCGTGAAAATACACGGCTTCATGCGTATTAATCTAACTTCTAGTCGAAAAAATACATTAAATTTTATGAGAAGGTTTTCGAGTTCTCAGATGATCAAATTCCTCACTAGGTTGCGTACGACACTATTAAACCTTATCAAATCTTGTTAAATCAAAAGCCGAGAGAAAAAAAATAAAAATTATTCTTCACAGCATTTTTTAAATGCTTTAAAAAGTTAGACCACTGAAAATGGATAGGATGATTCATTATAGGAATCTATAGATGTAAAGTTCGGAGTTGAGCATTACATGAAGCACTCAACTCGTAGAGATTGCATCGCAGGGTTGTTCGAAATTTTGGAATGTCGAAAATTCCGACTTTAAATTTTCGGAATTTCAAAACCTACTCCATCACAGAAGCGCGCGGAACCTCGGTAAAAAAAATGGCAAACGGATTTTAAAAGCGGATAAACAATTACAAAATTAATTCTGTTCGAGACTAGGGAAACTTTTTTTAAGTGCGCCTTTGACATACTAGACCAAAAAGCTTGATTCCAAAAAATATTCGGGAAAATTCAGGTCGGAATTTGGTCCCAAAAATGATTGGAAGTTTAGGTATTTTCGGGATTTTCGGAGTTCTGAATTCCGTTCCGAACATCCCAGAAACGGTCGAAAAATCCTTTCAGAAATATGTTTCTAATAAATACATTAAAAACAGGAAACAACAGAGCACAATAATCGGAATGCAGCCAACTTAAAGCTTTCAAAAAATCAAAATTTTATTTTTATGTCAGAGCAGTTCACTTATTCTAGTTTGGAGTTGTGATGTACTGCCCAATACGATCAGGGAGATAGTACAAATTTTCCCAAACACCACCCAGACCAAATTCAGTGATGAAGTATCCGTGTCCTGAGATCAGGGATTTCGCACGGTCTGAGCGGCATGATTTGGCAGTGAATCTGTAATATTTTGTATAAATATCTGTTATCCATTTGTTCACTCACTGAAGAGGTCCGGCCTTATTATTATAGGATGCAGACTTCACATAGATGAAGTTGTTGAGATTGTGAAGAGGTTGAGATTTTCCATCGTGGATGCTGGGATGACTCAGCTGAGATACAATGATATATTAGCAAAGTTCGCGGTTGGCATAGTACAGTATACCTTACTTAACCCAAACAATTCGTCAAAGTACTGGTAGTGAATGTTCTGATCTTCAAAGGAAGTCTTGACGAGTGTTACGGCAATGGCAAGATATTGCCTTGCTGCTCCTTTCGGAGACTAAAATGAAAGTAGCATCAAGGATTATTTAGTCTACTGAATACGATCTTAAACTCACAGCATGATTCTTGACACAGTTTGAAGAGGCTGGAACATTGCAGGCGGCCATCCCGAGGATCTTTCCATTGCTGTTTGTCCAGTATATGTAAGCTTCTACTATACGGTACTTGGAGTTCCCGGCCCAAACTTTAGTTCCGGTTTTTCCGCCTTTAGCTCCTTCCGCAGCATCACAGTCTGGCTGCGCTTCGAAAGCCATTTCGAACTAAAAAAGGGGGTCAAAATCTTAACTATGAATGAGTGAAAACTTCGTTCGCAGCTTTGACACGGCCAGTAATCAGAAGAACCACAGAGAGAAGAATAAGGGATCTCATGAAGATTCTCGTCTGAAGTATGCAATGAATCGAGGATTTAGAAGAACTAACTTACAGAGTGCAACTTGCTTGCAAAAACTACAAGGATCGACTGAATACTCTGGTAGCACCTGTTAGTTGACAACCACGTTTTAGGTTAGACACGTATGTAACCTAAAACGTGGTTGATGACGTCACGATGTCCAAGTGAAATATCACATTTTATTAGCACGTAAAATAAATAGAACACCAGATAGTTAAATAATAGTCTCATTTTCTTTGAGCTGGGCCTGATCCATCGTTATATCGGTAGTCGGAATCTGTAAATACTGATAGTAGACTATGATTGCGTAGAGACTAATCAGAGTTCATCAATTCCAAATTGTTACTATTCTGGAACAAAATGTCGGAGCAGTGGAAGAGAAACGCCGATGGCCGTGGCCGAGTCCCACAACGACAACTACCGTAACCCAACAATATTTTTATATCTCGTAATATTATTTTCACTTTTTTACTTCTTTCCGTCAAGTTTTCTAACATTTTCTAAAATTACAACTACAGTAGCCTAAGATTATTTATTTTATATTTTTCAGATTGTTTTTTCGTATTTCAATGCTATTCATCTATTTTTCTATTATTTTTCCCCAAATAGTTCGGAACATTTATTTGATAGTCCATCAATTAAATGAAAACGGGCGAAACACGGTGAATAATTCACGAATAGCGCACAACTGGTGATTGGTGACGCGTTTCTCGTGCATCGATAAGCAAAATTCAAAAAGTTCAAAAGAAATTAATTTGTTCGTGAACCGACATTGTGATGGATTTGAGAGTCTAGGCATCACTTTTTCCTCAATTCTTCCCTATCTAGGTCATTCCACGCCAATCCAAGCCAAATATTCCACGCCAAAAATAACACGCCGAATAAATAAGCAAAGAATTTTGGAAAAAAAGTAAATTTTAGCCAAATCTACAGTAAACTGATCCGAATCTGAGTGATTCAAAACCTATCTCATTTTTGAGCGTTTTTGAAAATAATTTATATCAAAATGTTTTCGAGAAAATTCTGCACAAAAGTTACTTAATTAGAAAAATTTATGATGGACGGTATTTTAATAGATCCCCAAAAACCTCGAAAAATTGAATTTTTCAGTTGATTTTCTGAAAAGTGTATCTCCTCCTTCAATTCTTAACCAAATTTGACGCTTTTAGGCTCATTTTGTGTGTTTTTGCCTTCTTCATAATTGTTACTTATTTTGAAATCAACATTTTCGACCCAGAATTTTTAAATGCCGAAAAACCTAATTTTTCCCCGTATCGCGAAAAGCGCCCACAAATCCGAAAAACATCAAATTTCGTAAATTATTGCCATGTGTGGGCTCCGATTTTTTCGTACTAGAATAATGCTGGAAAACTCAAATCTTCGAAATTATCTTTCTGTACGGTGTCTTAATTTCCCAATCCAATGCAACACACTCATCTACAAACACCGGATCGTTTTCCAGTTTTTTGACTTCGATGAATGGTTTATCATCATAGTACTGTAAATAATGTTTTTTGCATATGTTACCATCTTTTCAACAAACCTCAATATCTTGATATACAGCTGGCAATTCTATGCTATCGTAATACTTGTATCTTGATGTAGCAGTATCTCCCATATCTTCAGTCTATAAATTAATTTTGTATGGACAGTCTTTCAATTTGATTTTGGTTCTAAAGAACATTTTATTATGCTAAATTTACAATTCCTTTCTTTCTGTATTCTAAATACAAATTTTCTAATTCTGGATTATTCTTGAATGTATAAATGATTCCATCCCTAATCGGACGCTCTTTCACTGAACTTGGCGCGTTTTCGAATGTATCTTTTCGTTTTATTCTTGACTGTTTAAGTTTCGGAGTTTTAAGTAGTTTCATCTTCAACTCATGTCTTTTTTTCTTCAATTTCTCTCGACGAAGCTTCAACGCCTTCTTGAACCTCCACCAAATGTATACCATTATAGTTATTGGAATAATTGCGAGAATAATGAATTGAACGATGTCTTGCCATACTTTTTCTTCGAATTTCAAGAACCTGAAGATAAAATCGTCAATTAGAAGAATTAGAAGATCCATTTTATTCACTCTGTATATTTTTCGGCGTATCTGTTCAAACGGCTACACCAATACAAAAGAATTGTTTCGGGAACATCTGAAAATATTTTTTTTGCTCAGTTTCAGACTACAAAAGGTTTATGTACTTCACAATTATATCTTGTTTCTGCCTCCATCATTATTAACTTAAAAACAAGAAAACTGATAACCACTCAAGGTTTTGCCTAGTCTTTCTAACTCCCCTCTCGCCAAATTGATGGCTGATATCCAGGTTAAATTCTTCCAGATTAAAATTTTAATTACTTTTTTATAGTCACGTTTTTATTGGAAGACTGTAGAAGAAAACGGAAAGTCGACAGAAATAGAGCATCAGAGAGAAAAAGAAACAGAAAAAAGAGAGACTATTTTTTTTTTCCACCGGATGGGTCTAAAAATTATTCAAGAGATCTGAGAAGAGAATGAGATTGGTGTGCTATTGGTATTTGTTGAGTCAAAACACGTCAAATGAATTTTGGTCATTTCTTCAATTAACTAGAGGTTGAATAATAATGTTGATCTGAATACGGATGCAATAATGTATTCTCATCAGACGGCTGTAGGTTCGGGTGTGGAGCTGGAGCCGGTGTTCCGTTTGGTGTCTGAAAAGGGGTTAAAATAAGAGATTGAACACTATTATGATTTCTTTAAAAATCGGAGCTGTGGAAGAGAAAAGCTTGTGGGTGTGGCCAACGGTTTGAGCAACGAAAACCACCGTAATCTAAAAGTTTCGGTCTTTTTATCTCGATTATTTTTCCTTTTCAACAACTTTTTATGTTGAAAACCGCCAAACAAGTTGGACAATAAAATGTTTCTAAATCTAAAAATCGCCGAAAAACAGACGAAACTCGAGTGAAGAATGAAAGTAATTTGCTAATTACGGTATATCCGCCGTGGCCGCGGCCACCAGATTTTCTCTTCCCTAGCTCCGATTTTTCGATACAATACTCGAGGAAGTCATCTAACAAGAAAACAACATTTTCGTATGTATTCCCTTTCACTTGATTAGGAATTTTGACTGAACGGAAAAAAAAGAAAAATGTAAAAAAAAGGTTAAAATCACACTTGAAAAACTGGTCCTGCCATAGTTTCTTATAGAATCAATATTTTTAGACCAACTAAATTAATAATGATAGAACTCGTCGAGTACTACAAAATGTTATTATTTGAAAAATGTATATTGTCTATGAATAATGTTATGATCCGTAAAGTGGCTGATCCAGCCCGGGCCAGCTCCTGCCTTTTTAAAAATCTGTAACTTTGCTCATAGACAAGATACAATTTTCCAAAAAATATCATTTTGTAGTTCTCGTCAAGTCTATCATATTCAAATTGATTGACCGAAAATATTGATTATAAAAGAAACTATGACAGGGTCCTTTTCACGAGTATGGTTAACATTATCAAACGCATTCCGCACACTCTACCTTTATATTCAAGGTTTCACTACTAACGGCAAACGAGACATCTGAAGGGAGGGGCACATGATCTATCGGAATATTTACTACACAACCCATTACGTCCCACTCCGGAGACAAACGTCCTGATTTGAACAGCTTCTCCGATTGAATTGATACCTGAGATTTGGGTGAAATCATCAGATGGAAGATTGAAAACTTACGAAGTATATTGTAGCCATTGAAGAAAGCATAGCTGTAGTTCTAAATGGGAAATATTGTGTTCCATCTGTATACATTGGATAGTGAAAGAATGCTGGCAAGGAGACAAGTGGTTCTCCTCCAATCAGACGAAGAACCAATCCAACTGCATATCCAGCCAATGATCCATAAGTGTTGCTACGTGGCATGTAGACAACACAGAGAAGTTGGGGAAAGAGGATAACTAGACCAAGTCAGCACACAAATACCAGAGACCGTAGATGGATTGAATTGTAAGAGCCATTATAGTAGCCATTATACCAACACAAATTATCGCAACTCTCATTACAATAATCACTTCTTTTTCAGAAGCATGTGGACGGATTGTGAGTTTCCAGATATTATGAGCAAACATGGAGGCAGCAGAAAGAACCGAAGAATCAGCAGAAGACATGACAGCAGCAGAAACAGCGCCGAGACCTGATTTTACAAGTTTGATTAATTTAACTCCTTTTTTTCAATTACCAATAAACGCCACCCATCTTGGTGTCAGATATTGGAATACCAATGGAACCACCATATTCCTCTTGTCTGGAGGGATCGATTCAACTTTAGTTCCATTGTTCCATGGGGAATAATCAGTCATTCTCCAGTCAGTGTTCCTGGCAATTGCACCAATAAGTGCAGGAGGAATCGCCATGAGAATGCATCCAACGCCAGCCACGAAGGAAAGAGTTTGAGCTCCGGAAGCAGTTTTTGAGGAGAGAACACGTTGGAAGTATACTTGCCATGGAATTCCTCCAAAGACAAGAAGAAGCATGCAGTCAATCCAGAGAGACGTTTCTTTGAATCCTGAAAAAATCGGAAACGTTCTAGAGTCAGTAGAGTATACGAGCATTTTAGAAGTTCGGAAATTGGAAATCGCAAAGTAAAAAAGTGGATATTCAGCAATCAATGAGTTTGAAATTCGGAAATTGGAAATTTTGGAAATTCAGAGTTGGAAGATTCAGAAATTAAGTTGGAATATTCAGAAATTCAAAATATAGAGTTTTTTTAAAACTCTTAAACTTCAAAGTTTGGATATCAACTGAAGGTGTTTCAGCCCGAATGGCGTCCAACGACCTCGATCTTTGACTTTCTCAATTTCTCAACCTCCGAATTTCTCCAACTCGGAATTTTCAAAGTTCTGAAAATTTGTTGGATGTCTAATTTCAAGAAGTTCAGAGACTCAGAATCTTGGAAAATCGGAAGTTAGAAGACTCGATAACTTAAGAATTCAGGTGTTTAGAAAAACTTGGAAATTTTGATTTGAAAAATTTTCTGAATAGAAAAAAGATTTTTTGAACTCCCAAATGTCTTACTTTCTGGGTATCTCTATTTCTTAATCTCCATTTTCTCGAAATTTTGAGTATCTGAATTTTCGAGACTTTAAGTTCCGAATAAGGAACTTCCGATATTCTGATATTCCTGATTTCCAATCTTTTCAATATATATACTCTAAAACAACACTTGAAAAAAAGACAACACCGGGATATGGTTACTGTAAGTGGTGGTTATATAAAAGAGATGTAATCGTCCTAAACCTGCTTAAATCCTTGATTAGTCTATTATTGCTCACCTCCGATTTCTCCAATCCAATCTCCAGCATTTCTTGAAATATCTTTTGCACCATCATGAACCATTGCCGCAGGCACGCATACCCACTGAAAGAACACATCTTAAGCGTTTCTGACGTCACCAAAAAGATAAACTCACCAATCCGACGAATATGCAGAAAAGTTGGACGACGTCAGTATAAGCAACTGCATAGTATCCACCAGTGAATGTGTAGAACACGGCAATGCAAGCGGATAGAGTCACCGATGCATTCATATCAATTCCAAGAATCACGGAAAGGGTTGCTCCTGAATAAGGAAGTGAATAAGGTCCTTATTTCAAGGAATCATTAAAATCCTTAATCATACCAAGTGCAGAGAGAATAGCAGCTGTCCAGAATGTCTCTCCTAGAAGGGCTGGCAAATACATCAAACCACCGATTCGTTGACCGTACTTGTGCTTTAAAAAATTTATGTTTTACTGGAACCAATCAGTCTGAAACATACTTGAAAAGGGTCCAACATTGTTATATATCCCTCTTCTCTCATTTTCTTTGCGAACAATAATCCTCCCATTACCAGAGAAATTGCGTATCCAACTGGGGCTTGACATCCAAGAACACCTGAAAGAGATCTTCTGATTCTTCTCTTCTTCACAATTCGTCTTAATTAGATTACCTCCATTATAAAGTGCTTCAGCAGTTCCATTGATATAGGCACCACCAACCCACGTGGCAGTCATTGTGAATATTCCAACAAGAGTTCCGATGTTTCTCCCCGCTAACATCACTTCTTCCGTTTGTGCGCCCACTTCTGATTCCAACTCTTTTGTGCTTTTTGACTTCCTACCCGCCCATATGCCGACGACTAGAATGAGCACATAGAAGAAGACAATGGCCACGATACCCAAGAAGTCGGCCATGGTTTGTCCTGTGAGAAACAAAGTTAAAATTTCAAAATCTGGAAATTCAGAGGGAAAAAGAAATCAGTGATGACGACATGAAAGGGAAAAGGGTGGAAAGTGAGGAAGGCGAAATAAGTGAAAACTGAGAAATAATTAATTATTTATCCAGATATTGCCTTCTCATACTCCTTCTTCATCTGACTTTTCTTATTCATCTCCGTTTTCTAGTAACACTTATTGAATTCGTGGGAAAAAAATGAGATGGAAAAATGAGTAGGCGTCATGAGATTGTTAAGATTTTTCCTTCTTCTTCTTCTTCTTATTTTACTTCTAACTCAGCTTATATCAAAAGTTGCCTTTCTGAAGCAACATTTCAAGAAATTCGGGTTTTGAGTATAAATTCTAGATTTCGAAGCAAAAAAAATAGTATGTCCTCTAATTGAAACCCACTCAAACCGGTTTGGATGGGCTTCTATTAGAGGAAGTACGGTAGTTTTTTGCAAATCTTTTCTTCTATGGATTATTAACTTCACTGTAACTCGTCTCAAAGTACTGAACTCATTCTGGAATGTGTGAGAGAAATTCAGATGACGTGTTCCATAGTCTAATCGAGGTTTAAAGCAAAACGAATTCCAATTCCAATTAAAGACTCCGCGAGTGAATCGAAAAAATAAGAAGAAAAAGAATCTTAACATCAGATACGATTAAGGGGGGATGAGTTCTGAAAGGGGGTGGGCGGAATGCTAAGAGACCGGTTTGAAGAAAAAAAAGAAAAAGTGGAAGGCCCCCCGCCATCATTCAGGATGCACATGATTTAGAAAGAAGGGGTGCCGCTTTTGTAAAAAAAACTAGACAAGAAGAACAGAAAGAAATTCTCTTCCACGTCACGATGAATAGAAAGGCGTGAAATTGGAGTTGAGAAGGAAAAGAAGAAGAAGAAGACGTTGGGGGTTTTGTAAAAGATTCTAAAAGTATTTGATTTCAGGCGCGGTGGAAAAAAGTGATTTCATTTTTGAAACCTAAAAAGTGTTTAGGAAGGAAAAGAAGAAATCGGGGGAGTTATTGATGAAGGAAATATATAAAGAAGGGACAACTAATTGGATGCCTAGATTCATATTTCGAGAGTGTAGATTGAGCCAATCAAACAAGTTTAAGAAGTGAGGAGAGGATTTGCACCTTGGGAAATGTTTTTGAATATATTTTGTAGTTTTTTTGCGGGAGGGAAGTCTTGAAGAAGAAATCAAAAAGATTTGGAGAACTCGAATATTGAAATTAGCGAGAAAGTGGAAAATTTTAATATAGTATTCTAATACAAAATTCGGAAATGGGAAAGAGAAACGCCGGTGAACGTAGCCGAAGGTCCCACAAGGACAACTACCATAACCTAAAAATATGTTTATTTTCCTTTTTTTTTCGTTTATATGTCTGTCACTTTTCCTCAAACATGTCGAAAAATTTTGACTGAAAACTCACTACAATTAGGAAACGAATCCCGATATTACAACTATTTTTAGGTTACGGTAGTTTTAAGTGAATAAGAAAAAGGTGTTAAATATTGTAAACATCAGACCGATTCACAATCAAGATTGAGCTCAATTTCTGGGTCGAGAAGTCGATAATAGGGACAGGGGCGCATAATTACCGTACTCAAGTTTGAACTAGCATAAAATGATCTGATTAACTTATAAAAGTTATCGCTTGTCCTAGTTGCTTTATCCCATGAAACTCGCAAGAAACATTACGCCGTTCATCTTTGGACAATCATAACATTACCTAGGTTTGAAGAATCGGTTTGAAAATTTCAATAGCTTCGAATCAAACATAAATTTATATTCCTACCAATTTTCATGCTTCCAAGATGGTCATGTCTTAAGATATACCCGTTTTTATCAGACCGGGTAATTGTGCCACACCTTGTTTTACGGTATTAAAGATTCCCAAAGTCAAAGAATGTCTCGTGGTCTTCCTATGTTGGAAAATCAGATCCCAACTTGTGTGAATCTGTTGTGAGGATGAAAACAACGAGGAAGAATTTGAAGCAACATGTCATGCTTCTTCTTCTTTTACATCTATTTAGTCTTGTGTTTTTCTTCTTTCGGAACACTTCGAGCCAGCTTTCAATTGAATTTGCAATGATTTTGGTGCGACGACGCAAGAAAAAAACCGAAAAAAAGCGAAGAAAAAAAAAGACGTCACTGGAATGGAAAACAGAAAGGCCTTCGAAAAAAGTTCAAGTTTCCGTAACCAATTGGCGGAGAAGAGAAAAATCGTTTTTTTTTCATAGAAGGCGTAGAAGAGAGTGAAGCCGACGGAAATGTCGAGATAATCGTCAATCAAGGCGAGAAAAAGAAGAAGAATGGAGCCCCCGTGGTGAAGGCTCTAATTTCAGAAAAAAAAGAGAAGAAGATGGAGTTGAGAAGAAGAGAGTGAAAAAGAAATTGATGGGTGCTGTGCTTTTCCTTTTCGCTTCTCCGTATTTTTCCACCCATTTCAGATTGAAAACCGGGGCTCCCGATATACATATCTACCACGATTTTTTTTGAATTGAAGGAGAAGAAGAGAGTGAAAACTGCTCCGCGAAGGAAAATAGATTCTCCAGCTGACAGGAAAGGAAAAAAAGAAGGGCATCGGTATATAATTAGATAGATCTAGTGAAGGAGGCGGCAAGATTGAATTGAGATTTTCGAAAAAAAGGAAGTGTTGGGGCACATTTTACGACTGAAAGTAATAGGGTGAATTTTCTATACCTTTGGTTTTGTTACAGTAATTCAGAATTTCAGAAAAATACAATAACCCAGAAAACTTACAAGGCCTTACTTACAATTAGTTTTGGGTGCTAAAAAATTTTGGGTTATTTGATTTGTATCTTTCTAAAAACATGGAAAAAAAGGAGTTTCACTTTTGTAATTGATGATTCAAACGCAGTTTTTTAAATAGTTTGAATAAAAAGTTGCTCTTGAAAAGGGTATACCGTAAAACCTCTTATAGAAGGGCCTCTGTCAAGTTTAAGGTCAATTATCTCAATTCTTAAGCGAGATATCAGAAATGTTTCCACTTACAAATGATTTGTGAAATAATGATAAACAGTTTATCAGTTGACAACTTTTCCATATCTTTGGCAGGAACCGAGCAAAGTCGTCTGACATTAAAAGAGTTAAGGGCCCTTCTATTACAGGTTTTACGGTATCCCGTGGATGATCTTTCAGACAAAAAAACTACAAAAATGGAATTATGTTTTTGTTTCCAAAATTTCCAGACGGATCAAAACACTTTGGTTGGCTTCTCCGGTACAAAAAGTTGGCAATTTTCTTCAGAAATTTTTCTGGTACCTATTTTCCCGGTACTGAATACACTTATCTGATGTGTATGAGTTGACATCACTCAACGATTGTTTTGAAGCTTATATACCAAAACTGATGTCACTTATTTAGATTGTCCATAATTATACGTTTGCCAGTGGGAATAATGTGGCTCTGTCTTGAAGAAATCTTTATAGCTGAAGTATAATATAACCAGACATTCTCGTAAGCTTACAGTTTGGATATTTTACATGCTTATTTGATAACACTATCCCGAAGGAAGTTTGGAACCATTTACTAAAAGGGATACTGTAATCGAAATCTGGTTTGTTCAAAGTTACAGAACTAGTCAAAACGTTACAGGATTCTCAGATGATTTTTAAAATAACAAATAGAAAAAGGGACGAGGAAGATGTTGCCGAGATATTAAAAACAGAAAAACAAGACACCAACACATGAAAGGCGTGAACAAATTGTGTCCGTGTCCGAGAAGCTTTCTGGCTTCATCGCCAGAGTTTCCCCCCAGCCACTCTCCCTGGAGACCGTTTGAGCCCTCAGCCTCATCTCGTGTATACATCATTCGAGTTTTTTTTCGGTGTGCTCTTCTCCGTTGCTCTGCCGAATGAGCTCTGGAGTGGCAGAAAATGAAGAAGAAAAAGAAAAAGGAATACACGGATGGAAGAAGAAGAAGTCAATCCATTTGACACCAAAAGACACGTACTGACTGGAGGAAGCTTCAGATGAAGAGCCTATACAACAAGTGCTTCGTTTTGTTCGAAGACGAGAAAAAACGGAATTACGTTTTCGTTTTTTTTCACGCGCCAGCACAAACCAACTCCTGCCGACCGAAATCGAGTTATTCGGTAAGCTTCTTCTTCGCCTTTCTCCGAAATTCTTATGCGGCTCGGCGAGCACTTTGTCCTCTTCTTTTTTGACGTCTTTCAACCTTTATGCAAATCAGTTGAAGACTATTCAAAAAAAACCAAAAGAAGAAAAAGGGGTGAATCGGGGATTGACTTCAATATGAAATGGGTACAAAAATTTGGAGAAAAGAATAATAAAACGGAAATATAGGAGGAGGGAAAAAAGGAGTAGTAAGAAATGGGAATCGGATACAAGACATGGAAAAAAGTGCTGTAGTAGTTGTGGTTGGAGACAACTTATGAAATTTTAATGGTCGTTTTCAAAGAAATTCGCATCGTCTAACAATTTAAAAAGAATATGCGAAGGAAGACGAAGAAGAAAGAGGAGAAACTCAGGAGAATGGAATATATGTAAAAAGAGTTTAGCCTATAATTTATAAGCTATAATTCTCGGCTGCTGCCTTAGGCAGAAGTTGAGTGAAATTCAGCTCTTGGACGGATATTAGCCAGGTTCTGGTCGGAAGTTGCTCAAAAACGGATGTACAGCAGATCATGTCGAAGTTTTTGCAGTTTTCAGTTCCATCTTCGTATAGGATCATAACCAAACCGCTTTGGGTTTCCAACAAAATTTTACAGATAGATTCTCTTGTTCAAAAATTATTTTGTAGAATTCCAGATTTGTGTAGTGACTCTTCTCCATCTTTCACATTTTTTATTCCATGTCAGTGTATCTGAAATATCGTTTTATTAAACCTTGGTAAGTGGGCGAAACAAAATTTCCAAAAACCATATCTAAATGGTAGTATGCTGCAACACAAATGAACGAGTGCTTCCTTGGTGTCCATGAATTGACAATAGATGGAGTTTTTTGAAAATTCGATGTTGTATTTATAGATGGATTCATCCTTACTTCCAGTAAACAACTCAGACGAATCAAATTCGAAATTGGTTGGTTCAACTGGTTGTTTTGAACTTTATCTGTTCTAATTTTTGAAATTCCAATACTTTTCATTTTCCTGATCGCTCTACAAAAAAATTGGTTTTTTATTTTTATTTGTTCAATAAAGACATATATTGAAAAAACAACAACTTGTTTAGTTTTTAGGTAGATATCGAGAAAGAGTGCGCTTCTATGAATTACAGGTGACGGTAATTCAAGCTGTTGAACTAGCTTGAAAATGATCCAAACTTTTCTAAACTTTCAGAAAGTGTGTATCATGAGTTTCTAAACAAATTATTCCAAAACATCTAAAACGCATAACGAAACTTTTCAATCTTCCACCTTCCAGAAAGAATGTTTGAAATTTTTTGTTAGATTTATTTTTAAAAATTCAGGATCTCCAATTCACTTCTAAATCTGAAAATACTTTGAAAATGCTCAACATTTTCTTCTATCAAAAACTGACAAATGTGTGAAGGAAGAATTTCGCTATAGATTACAAAAATAGTTACTATGAAACCCTTATTAGAAGAGCACTCCAAAATTTAACTACGTTCTGAAAGTTTGGAAAAGTTTGGATCATTTTCAAGTTCGACAACTTTTTAGAATTACCGATACCAGCCATCAGTATCGGCACTGTATCTCATTTTGTATCGGCACTGTACCCCGTTTTCTCGGTATTCCAATTATTATGATTTCCTCTTTTTCCCCAGTCTCCCCTATATCTTTCCCGAAATCTAGGGCAACATTTGATGTTCCGTATTCATAATATTCCGCCGCGCATACATTTTACTATTGTTATCATCTGGATCTCCCCTTTTATATTTTCGCATTTTCATTTGTACTATCCTCCAATTTTCTATTCCACAATCGAACAGTTTTTTAAAATAATTTAAAATTGTTGAAATAGATCTCAAACTCTTTTTTATTGTTGTTATTGCCTCTCCAAATTTAGTCCAGAGAAGTTCAAACTTACTAATTTCCAGAATCCATCATGAAAGTGAGCATCGCTCATTTGGCGGCTCGTCTTGTCTGTCTGTTATCAGCCCTAACTGCTGTATTCACTGTCATCATTTGCCTTCATCTTTCTTCGAAAATTCAAAATACTGAAAATGAAATAATGGGGAAGCAGTCGGCGTTCAAGGTGGGTCTCAAACACCTTCACTACTAGTTTTTCATGGCTTTAACTTAAGGCTAAATCTCAAGTAATCTGGGCGGAGCTTAGACAAATCGAACACCCAGCTCGTTTCCAAAGAAACGCCTATGGTTCGAACGATGAGAAGAAGGGAATCTTGCATCAATGTAGTCGTATGTTCTGCATATTCTCTAGGCACTTATAGACCGATATTGTTCAGAATGCACCCGCCTTCATTGCCCACAAGGACCTATCGGAGAAGAGGGAGCACCAGGAAACGACGGACAACCAGGAACTCCTGGAAAGCCAGGATCTCCAGGATTAGAAGGAACCGATGTTGACCTAGAACCCCAGGATGAGCTTCCTTGTTCAATTTGTCCATCTGGACCACAAGGACCACGCGGAGCACAAGGTGAACGTGGACTTCCAGGAAACGCTGGAAGAAAGGGTAAATCCGGGAAATCCGGTCATCCAGGACAGCCAGGAGGAATCGGAGCCAGTGGAGCCAAGGGACCAACAGGACCACGTGGAACGAATGGGGTGAAAGGGCCACCAGGAGAAACAATTATTGCTGGAGAAGGAATCAAGGGTCCACCAGGGTTGGCAGGATCACAAGGGCCAAAAGGACCACCGGGCAATCCAGGAAGACCTTCCAACATTCGGGGACCACCAGGAAAAGCTGGTCAACAAGGAGGAATTGGGGCTACTGGAAAGGTAGGGTATCTTGAAATAAAAAGGCAGGAACATTCTGAAATTGAAGTCGTGAAACTGGACTTTTTTCAAATTGCCCTCCTCCTAATTCATAAATCTTTCAGTTCGGTAAATTCGGAGAACAAGGAGGAATCGGAGCACCAGGAGAGCCAGGTCTCCCAGCTGCCTACTGTCCCTCAGATTGTGGAGTTAACACGATTCTCTCTCAATTCGGATCTCGTGCTCAACATCCAGAATCTATTAATGGGGAAGATAATGGAGCTCCAGCATCAAATCCAGAAGAATATGGAAGAGATGAAGAAGAGTCTGCCGAATATCCAGCTCCACCAGCACCTCAGCCAACTGTTCAACAACAACAAGAGACTGCAGCTGCTAGCTCGGTGCCAGAGGAATCATTTGAAGAGTCGTCTTATAGAAGCTTCTTTGGGCATTAAGTTAATGAAAATGAATCATTTGTATTTGAATTAGTCTTGATATCTCTGAAAATTTTGGAAGCAATATACAGTGCCCCACATAATGATACGCCACCTCTCAAAAATTCGAAAAACTCGAAAACCGGTCATGACCCAAATGTTGACTTTTCTAGAAAAATACGTATAGTTTCCGTCAGGGGGCTCGAAAGTGTAAAGGAAACCGGGAAATTGTCAAAAGAATACTAAGAAAATCTTTCAAAATCTAGGACCTACTCAAAAAGGAGAGGAAGATTCTTAAGATTTTCAAAGAATTCAGAAGACAGGTTCCAATCTTCAATACACTTTCGAACACAGCTAAACCTTTGACTGACCGAAATATCAGTCAGCCATAGCCGTCGGGGCTCGAAAGTGTAAAGGAAACCGGGAAATTGTCAAAAGAATACTAAGAAAATCTTTCAAAATCTAGGACCTACTCAAAAAGGAGAGGAAGATTCTTAAGATTTTCAAAGAATTCAGAAGACAGGTTCCAATCTTCAATACACTTTCGAACACAGCTAAACCTTTGACTGACCGAAATATCAGTCAGCCATAGCCGTCGGGGCTCGAAAGTGTAAAGGAAACCGGGAAATTGTCAAAAGAATACTAAGAAAATCTTTCAAAATCTAGGACCTACTCAAAAAGGAGAGGAAGATTCTTAAGATTTTCAAAGAATTCAGAAGACAGGTTCCAATCTTCAATACACTTTCGAACACAGCTAAACCTTTGACTGACCGAAATATCAGTCAGCCATAGCCGTCGGGGCTCGAAAGTGTAAAGGAAACCGGGAAATTGTCAAAAGAATACTAAGAAAATCTTTCAAAACCTAGGACCTACTCAAAAAGGAGAGAAGATTCTTAAGATTTTCAAAGAATTCAGAAGACAGGTTCCAATCTTCAATACACTTTCGAACACAGCTAAACCTTTGACTGACCGAAATATCAGTCAGCCATAGCCGTCGGGGCTCGAAAGTGTAAAGGAAACCGGGAAATTGTCAAAAGAATACTAAGAAAATCTTTCAAAATCT